CAAGACTGTGCCTGCCTCTGGAGCTGGTTGCTATTGAGCAATACTTCAAGCCAGCTTATGCTTATGTTTTTTTTTTTTTTTTCGGTTTTCAGGAGTCAGCTAGTGTTAAAGTGACAGCAGCACTGAGTATGTGGGAGCTGTGCATGGAGAAGGGTAGTGCCGAGTTGGAGCAGTTCCAGAAGATTCATGGTTTCATCAGTGATCAGCTGTTCTCTGATTTTGTGAGTGACAGCTTTATTCCTTTCTTCCACATGAAAGCTTCGATAAAATGTCTACTACCAGAAACATCGGGAAAACAATTCTGTTTAGAAGGGATTAAAGATCCTTTCACTAAGCAGTAGACTGAACTGGCTTTTGGCTATAATAAAGTGTTAACTAAGCCTCCTTCCTCAGCCTGTTGCTCCCTCCAAAGGCTTTAGATAAGTGGTCCGCTTTTCCCAATTCACTGGTCGTTTTGGCTGAGACAGTATTTATAATCTAAATCATCTGGAGAACACTACGTTATTACTACTACTACTGCTACCACTACCACCATCACTACAGGCACAGAATTATAGAATTCCTAGAAATATTAAAATGTTCTTGAAAAAAACATGAAAACTCTAAAACATTGTAGACAGCAGCTAGCTTGTAGTTTACTGAACAAAGAATACTATGAAATATGGAGAGGAGAAAATATTTGATGTTTTCAAAATTGCTGGTAAATATAGGAGAACTTGTGTTCAGGGATTAAAGATAGAGGGAAAGAAAGAAGAGACTGGATAGCCATTTGTCCAGAATGGTACACGATTTCCTGCTCAAGCGGGGTGGGTGGGGGGTGGATTAGAAGACCTCAGAGGTCCTTTCCAATCCTATTATTCTATGTTCTGTTTTATTTTGCATTAAAATCTATATGGCAAACCAATAAAACCTATTTGGTCATAATAGCAACAGTACTTGGACTTACATACCACTCCATAATGCTTTACCGCACTCTCTGAGTGGCTTACAGAGTCAGCATATAGACCCCCAACAATCTGGGTCCTCATTGTATCAACCTCGGAAGGATGGAGGGCTGAGTCAACCTTGAGTCCCATCAGGATCAAACTCCAGACTATGGGCAGAATTTGCCTGTAGTACTACATCCTAACCACTGCATCACCAGGGCTCCTGAGGATACCATAAATGAAATACTATCTAATACTAATACTATATACCAGTGATGGTGAACCTTTTAGAGACCAAGTGCCCAAAAATTGGCCCCACCCCCACTCCACCCTCCTGCCCTGTTCCCGCTCTGTCCCCCATCCCCCCCCTGCCCACAGGACACTCACCACCTCTACAGCCTGCCGCAGATCGCCCAGGAAGCCCAGCAGCGCTATGGCGGCCACACCCTCTGCCCGCGCCCTGCAGCATAAACTGCATGATGGCGTGTGAGGGCACAGTCTTGCCTACGCTGCCTGGCTGCCATGTCCTTGGCTGCGCTACTCCATGTGGGCCACGCTCAAGGGCGACTCTCCTTCAGGGGGGCTGCTGGAGAGGAGAGGGTCGCGGGGGGGACAAGGCTGGGGCAACAGCACATGTGCCCACAGAGAGGGCTCCGAGTGCCGCCTCTGGCACCCGTGCCATAGGTTCACCACCACTGCTGTATACTACTATAAATGAAATGAGGATACTTTTGTATACTTTTTTTCTTCAGTTTACACTGAATTCATCAAAGTAATTTGGCAGAGTGGGAAAGGCTACAGTATGATGCATAGGTCTGATTGTTGCTCTTTGCTTTGCAGAAGAAGCGCACTGAGCGTCTAGTGATAACCCCTCTGAATCAGCTGCTAAACATGTTTGCTGGGCCTCACAAACTGGTGCAGAAACGCTTTGATAAGCTCCTGGATTTCCACACATGCACAGAGCGTGTGGAAAGATTGAAGGACAAACGGACCTTGGAAGAATTACAGTCAGCCCGCAACAATTACGAAGCCTTGAATACCCAGCTGCTGGATGAACTGCCCAAATTTCAGTGTTGTGCCAAGGAACTTTTCACTAGCTGCCTGCGCAGCTATGCCGAGGCTCACTGTGACTTTGTACGCCTAGCACTGCAGGAACTTCAGCCTTTGCTCTCAGTAAGTACAGAAACTGCGAGTAGCTGGCATGGCTGGTGTTCTCCCTGAGAACGGAAGGAAAGACCATGATACTTCCTGGTTTTCTTCTCCATCTTTTTCATTTTTAAGGCATGTTTTCACTGAGCACACAGACCTTTAAATGAAATGGAGGAAATCCATAGTAGAATTATTATTACTGATTACCTCTCCACTAACATGGAAGAGAGGAAAAGTAATCCTCACTGTTTTGGAATCATTGAATCATCTTCACCATTACTCTGAATATAGTGGATTGTTACTGAGCAGAATTTATCTAAAATTGTCCTTTGCTGACTTGCGTCTAATATCGCTTTCCTCTCTCTCAGCTGCTGCAAGTGGTTGGCAGGGAAGGGAATCTTATTGCCATCTTCCAGGAAGAGCATAGTAGAGTCCTCCAGCAACTGCAAGTCTTCACCTTCTTTCCGGAGAGCATTGCTACCACTAAAAAGCCCTTTGAAAGAAAAAGCCTGGAGCGCCAGTCAGTGCGAAAACAACCCCTTCTGGCCATGGTGAGCTCTATGCAAGTAACAAGAGGTGAAAGGCTGCCCTCTAGAGGTGGAATTATGTCATTAACTTCAGTATGGTCAGAGTGAAGAGTAGTTGAGGGCTTAATGCATTCTTCCTGATACTGAGAAGCGTAAATAAGAGAATCTGTGGGATTCATTGCCATCAGATACGCTAATAGTCACTAAAGAAGAAGGTTTTAAAAAAAGATTGGATAATTTCATGGCGGTCCAGGCTATTACTAATCACTGGTTGTACTTTACCTTTTGACTCACAAATAGTATACTCTAAAAGCCCATTGTTGGAAGCAACAACAAAAATTCTGTCATCCCAGCCCCTCAATCATGTGTGTGAGCTTTTAAAATGTAATACACCAACTGTACTACATGAAGCTCTTTGGCTGATCTAATATGGTACTCACATTTTAAAGATGAGTCTAAGCAAAGAACTAAAGATGCCTGGATTATTCCGTTCACCTTCATTGAAGTTGTTGTTTCCCTTGTAGCCCAGTTACATGCTACAATCAGATGAACTGCGAGCATCCATCCTGGCCCGCTATCCTCCTGAGAAGCTATTTCAGGCTGAGCGTAACTTCAATGCAGCTCAAGAGCTGGATGTGTCATTATTGGAGGGGGATCTTGTGGGTGTTCTCAAGAAAAAGGATCCTATGGGCAGTCAGAATCGTTGGCTTATTGACAATGGAGGTGAGTGAAAATGTTTCTGAACCTCAGCCTAGGCCAGGGGTAGGCAACCTTGGCTCTTTTATGACTCGTGGACTTCAACTCCCAGAATTCCTGAGCCAGCCGTGCTGAGGGGAAAGGGAGTTTCTAAGCTGAGCCATGCTGGCTCAGGAATTCTGGGAGTTGAAGTCCACGAGTCATAAAAGAGCCAAGGTTGCCTACCCCTGGCCTAGGCCGTTCCCAACTTTATTATGTTTAGCATTAGTGATTATTTTCTTCCTTGCCCCATCTATACAGTGACAAAGGGCTTTGTGTACAGCTCCTTTTTGAAACCTTACAATCCACGCTGTAGCCACTCAGATGTCTCTGTGGGCAGTCATTCATCCGGTGAATCTGAACTAAGCGGTTTTTCTTCATCTCATGGAATCAGTACACCAAACAGCATTTTGACTATTACATCTGGTAACAGCCCGCTCAAGCCTCCAGAGGACTCTGGCATCCAAAGCAATCTGATTAATTCTGTTCAGACTCTCTCAGAGGTGGATGCTGTTTGCCAGCTCCAGATGGGTCCCACTGTGGAATCTGCACAATCATCCCGCAATCTTCCATCATCTCGGCGAAACAGTAATCCAGATGCACGAAATGGGCACCAAGCCCGATACAAAGCAAGGCCAACCCCATCAGTGGACAACTTAAGGCTGAAGAACAGTGAGTGTGTGGGAAATCAGGTGAGTGGGGCAGAAGCATATGTAGACACATGCCCATTGCTCTTAATGGCCTGATTCATATATATTTTAAATTTTGTTTAATCAAAATTTACCAAAAGCCAGAAATGATTGGATTCACACATTGGACAAAGCCAAAGTGAGTCAAACCCAATTCTATTTTAAAGTTTGAACAAGACTAGTATGTCAATTCTAAATTGGCTACCTAAATTCTACAGCAGGGGTCTTCAAACTTGGCCCTTTTATGACTTGTGGACTTCAACTCCCAGAATTCCTCAGCCAGCGTGCTTGGCTGAGGAATTCTGGGAGTTGAAGTCCATAAGTCATAAAAGGGCCAAGTTTGAAGATCCCTATTCTATAGCTAACATCTTCTTAATGATGCAATATTTTGGATGACTAACACTTTGCTTAAAGAAATGCAAATTTATATGGATCTACTCTGGAAACAGGTTTTCTACTTGAGAGGGGGAGGGGGAGAGAGAGAGAGATCCCAAAGCATTTTATAGCATAATAAAAAGAACAATTTGGGTGGTGCATGGTTGTTCTGGTTGGCCCAGAGTGAAGATAGCAATTGGTTTTGTTCTGTGTTCTTTCTCACCTCCTTCCTATATTTTCTGCTTCCAGGTCTATTATGCCCTTTATACCTTTAAGGGCCGCAATTCAAATGAACTGAGTGTAACAGCCAATCAAAGACTAAAGATTCTACAATTTGAAGACATAACTGGCAATCAGGAATGGTGGCTGGCAGAGGCACATGGGAAACAGGGCTATGTACCATCCAGTTACATTCGCAAGACTGAGTACACGTGAGATGCTGGCATAGATGTCACAAACTGGTGCCTTTATAACTATCACGCAAGGGCATACTATTGCATCCACTCCATTCCTCTGAAAGTTTAGATTTCAGTATATTTCTGTGGGGAGTTGGACCTAGTTTCCATCAAAGTTGAATGCAATGCTCTTACTGGACAGCCTGAGACAGCCTTGTCTTCCTCTTAGCAGTGCTGTGTGGAGCTCATATTTCCATTTGAGGTAGACATTCAGTCCACTAACTGGATTGAAAACTAGCTGGAAATCCTGCAGCCAAGAGAAAAATCTGACTATTGGTACAAAAGCATGAGAAGGGAGCCAGTTAAGATAATGAGGGTCTCATTAGTCCAGTATTTCAGAAGGATCGCCAAAGGAGTATTAGGTATGTTTGCTGCCTTGAATTATTTATAAAAATAATAAAGGCAGGATATACAGAAACAAATAAAATAGCCTCTTAAGGCCCAATCTTACTGTTGTCCTCCAGCAGCTGGTGATCAAAGGTGTAGTGTAGCTGAACCTAATAGTTATGGCAAATAGCTGTTGGTATTTCTGCCCTTTGTGAAACCATGTCTCTTCAGCCCTGTAAGGAGAGAGCCTAACAAAAAGACGGTTCAGAGAAGTTGCTGAATATTGCCACCAAGAAGCAAGTATTCCATGTGTCATTTCCCTGTCTCAGTATTACTTAACACTGTTTGCTGTTGGGCAAAATAATTCTTTGGTTCAACCTTAGATAGGTTTGGTGCTCATCTTGCACGCTGCAGTATCTGAGTAAGGGCAAGGCTGCAATTATTTTGTCCCTGACTCAGGTCACAGTTGGAAGGGGAGCATTTATGCTCTGGGGGAAACAGCAGAATGTAAAAGCTGCATTTTGCTTTCTGAGTAACTTGCTTGAGTTGCTGTTGTGTAAATAAAATATATTTCTCACATTACTTGTATTTATTTTGGACAGAAACAATGCTCCTTCTCCTAGTATACAAATTATTTTCCATATTCAGGAAATCTAACTAGAGGCTGTTATGTGTGCTGCCCAGAGTCTTCTTTGGGGGAGAAAGATGGCTAAATAAATTTTATAAATAATTATAAAAGGTTACTTTTTTAAGTCCAGTAATAACTGGTCAAAGTATATATCAAAAACTAAATAAGAGAAATTTATCTTACAAGCATTATGATAAGTCCAAAATACTTCTGGAATCTTTTTATGACCTTCAATTTTTTTTAATAAAGACCAAAAGTTTGAAAATAATCTGCTAGTAGCCGGTTTCACTATGCTATCTCCCACTGTTGGCTTGCATCTTCTAGATCTTTAGCCAGCAAGGAGGACAATAACTCAGCCTATCTTGAAGACACCTCTAAGGATAATAATATAAAAGCCAACCTTCAAAAACTATATACAACATACATGCAAGGAGAGTATGAAATCTGGATTGCTTACAATAGTTTCCCACATTTTATTCCTTGTTTTCACATAGTGACCCTGTGGTAACATTTTAGCATGATGCCTAACCTCTATTTCTTTCCAGGTAAACAAGCACATGCTGATACTGACCAAAAAGTAATAAAGCTGCCTTAAGTATCAGGAAATGCTCAATAAATTATTGTGTTTTAAGAGTATATGGCACTAGCAGCGTTGGTAACATTTTTCATATATGGCAGATCAAGCAAAATTGCAATGCCACGGACGATCTTTCTGCCTTGAACTCCCATTCCTCTAAAGTGCCGTGTCCTGACTTCTTGTTATGCCAGCTTCCCTGACCATCCCTGCAAAGATGCCTTGCTGTTGAAGCAGCTGTTCAGGGCTGTCAAATTCTACAATCTTTCCTTCCTGAAGTACCATCACCCTAGAACAGAAAAAAAACAATATAAATTTGGGAATGTTTCAATATTCAATATTTACATGCATCATGTAAGTCATATAATTTTTAAAGGGTAATCAGAAGAAAGAAGTTGATTGGATACTATCAATCCAGTTTCAGCAGGAATCAAAATGATAAAGGGAAACCAAGTGAAGTATGCAACAGGACATTTGAGTGTATTCTAGCCATCTAACTGCTCCTGCTCATGGTCTTAGCAAGAGTCTAGAGCTTAATGGTGAAAACAGCAACACTACAATAGTTTACTCCAAAATATTGTGTTGGGTTTTCTTTCATTAGATGCCAGTCCCCTGTTATTTTAGATAACAGCAGGAAGGAAAGATGGGGCACAGTTATAAATTATTCTTACATAGCCTAACAGTCAACAAAATTTTAAAATGTGGAACGCCTTTGGAAGATGCCTAGGAAATTTTAACCAATTACCCCCTTAATTAGGTTCTCCAGCAAGTGGTACAGAGAGGCTTACTACCTGGAACACTGTATAGTCAGCATGACAGATTACCAGTGATAGCTTAATCTGCTTAGAGTTTGTCTAATCCACTTTTAGATTTACTTGATGGCCACTGTTAACATCTGATGGTAGAAAAGTGCATAGCTCAATTTTTGTTTCAATCCTCCGGCATTCAATTTCTTTGGATGTTCTTGGGCCTTATTATCGAGAACCAACAGTATTCATACCATATAGAATTTGATGTAGTCACATGGCCTACACATTTCCCAATGTCTTTCCAGGTGTCTTAAGCTAACTTTCCTTCTTGCTTGCTTTTTTCAGTTTTTGTTTACAAAAGGAACAGACATTTCTATAGTTGATGTATACTTCATCGTGTCAGTGAAAATGAATACTGACTTGCATTCAAGAGCTAATACATTATTTATGTTAACTTATAAGGTCAAGAATGTATCTATACCAAAGCATTACAGGTTCAGTGTTTCTGCCAAAATGTTGAGCTCTGAAAGCTTCTGTGCCTTCTTTATTGCTTTCTACTTACGAAGCACTGAATGGTGTAAAATGGACTTAATGAGATCAAGGCATGTTTTCTAATACTGCTTTTGTAGCAGCTTACCATCTTGCCATAAATACAAAATAAAGTTAAAATACTTGAGAGAAATCCATAATTCTCTTTTACTTTTTTGTGAATTTGTTGCTAGAATCCAACCTGAAGAGAACAGCTTTCCTCAAGGGGGGAAAAAATAGCTGGTTTGAACAGGTTATGTACATTCTGGCTTTCAAGTATTTTTTGTTGTTATTGTTTTGCTAAGTATGTTTTAATTCTTTTTCTAAAATGTATATTCTGCCTGCCAAAGTAGTTCTCTGCTGGCTTATCTCAGAAATCCATCCATTTTTAAAAAAACGTATCAATGGATCTCAAATCTTGTTTTTGTTTTTGATCCTATTTCAACATATGTATATTTGAAATAGATTATAATTCTTTAGACTTCATGTTATTTTTAGAGCTCTATACTATATTTATATTTCTTTTAGGAGCATGTATGAGGGAAGGTGTACTTTAACTACTTTTACTACAGAATTTTTGGATGCTCCACACAATCCTGTTGTCGCAGAAATTTCATCCCTGTATATCCTCTATCATGGATTTTGTTGCTGCCTCCCACTGCTATATTCTGCATGAAGTTTTGGCCTTTTGGGTGTGCATGATAGAAATACTCCACTCCTGTCTACTTGGCTATGTAAATGTTGGTACACACACACACACACCCATACTTTACCTATGGCTGTCCATGATGGTATGTAACCGATGGGCAATGGTGATTACGGTGCAGTTGGCAAACTCACTTCGGATTGTCTCTTGGATCAAGTGATCAGTTTCCATATCTACAGCAGCTGTTGCTTCATCCAGAATCAAGATTTTGGTTTTACGAAGCAGGGCTCGTGCCAGGCATACAAGCTGCCTCTGCCCCACACTGGAGGGTGGGGGAGGAAGAGGGACACAAATAATATTGATTATTGATGCTACTACCAAAATGAATGCAAATAATTTACAGGAAACTGAAATAAACATCAGTCCAGAAATACTCTCCATCGGTCAAGCCAGGCTGAACTAGAGAATAATGCCAAATAACGAGGTACTTGAATAGCTCAAGCATGTATGGTATCTTAAGATGACATCAGTTCTTGGCCATTTTCACTAATTTCCTATACCTCAAGTTCTCTCCTCCTTCACTCACTGGAGAAGACAACCCTTCAGGTAGAGCTTGTACAAAGGACTTCAGGTGTGCCAATTCTAGAGCATGCCAGATGTCTTCATCTGAATACTGATCAAATGGATCCAGATTCATACGCAAGCTCCCCGAAAAGAGAATAGGATCCTGAAAATGTAGATACAAGGCACTTTAGTTAAGGCTACTTTGGTTAAGAACGATGGCTAAGCTAAGTTGAGGCAAGAGTAGAAGTAGAGAAGCATTAGTATTTAACCAGCTGAAATTGCTTTCCGCTACTGTAATGGTATTGGGAATGACAGAAGGAAGATCTGCAGGCTAGGCTATGGTCAGATAAGAGGCAGCTGAGTCCACACAAAAAAGGGTAAGTGACAAATATCTCAGAAGTGACCCTCCTTAGTTCTTGGATTGTAAAGGCTGGGGAGATAATGTAACTTACCGTAAAGATAGAGCTATTACTCTTGGTGTCTGGACTACCTTGCAAGGCTCACAGCTATACCCAGAGCAGGTAATACACTTCATGTAATAGCTGAATTAGCCTATTGTGTTATTCCTTTCATAATACGTTGTATCATAAGTTACCCAAATGGTGTGGGTTTGCAGAACAAACTATCACACAGACATATCTCAACTCTTTTAACTGATAAGCCATGTTGTGTAAACTCAGCCTATATGTAGAAGAATTAATAAGTTGAATAATTGAATAATACAATTAATAAGTTTCTTCAGCTCTTCAGCCTCCTTCACTCACTTCTGGAATTAAAAAGAGTAATTTAAATTGCCTAGATCCCATGTTAGCACCTATTCCAAAGGAAGTAGTAATTGCAAGCTAGTAAAAAAAGGAACACCTCTCTTATTCCTTTTGCCCCCATTACTGCAATCTGCAGATGGAATTTGGTACAGTATTCATGCAGTCAAATCCTGTATCCCAGCATTTTCGGTCTGATGCTCTAGGTTTTTGTTTTTTTTTACCTGTGGGATGATAGTGAGTTTCTCACGTAGGTCATGAAGGCCAAGTGTTGCTATATCAAGTCCATCGATTAAGATCTTTCCTCCAGCTGCTTCCAAAATGCGAAAGAGGCAATTTGTGAGAGAGGATTTCCCAGCTCCTGTTCGGCCCACCACACCAATCTGAGAAGGCAGAATACCAGGAATTATAAGCCGAAGTGGCGCAGCAGTTAGAGTGCAGTACTGCAGGCCACTTTAGCTGACTGTGTTCAGCGGTTCAAATCTCACCGGCTCAAGGTTGACTCAGCCTTCCATCCTTCCGGGGTAGGTAAAATGAGGACCCAGATTGTTGGGGGCAATGTAAATATATACATACATTGCTTACTGGTGTACACCTCTTGGAGAGTGCTTGCACTTAAAGCGGTATATAAGTCTCACAAATAAGTAAATAAATAAATAAATAAATGTCTGATAAAGCTTTAAATTTCTCTCTTCTTGTGGCCTGTTTCTGTGATCCAACTCAGTTTACAACCTCCATTCCTGTTCTTGTCAAGTAACTCCATAGCAGATTGCTCAATAACTGTTGCTTTGCTTTCAGGGGAAAAAGGTCATTCTTGATATCTGAGCAATTTAGCATAAATTAGTATATGGAATGTAGGCCCAGTAAGGCCAAGCCTTTTCCCATTTCATCTCCCCTTGATTACATTCTTCTTTCTCCTTCTGGACCATGCCCATCCTCAATAAAACCCTGAAAGCTCCATCAATGTCTTTCCCCAAGACATCTCACCTTCTCAGTACCTTTGATATCACAGTTGATCCCATTTAGAACTAGCTCTAGCTCAGGCCGATACCGAACCTTATAGTCCATAAAAGTGATCTCTCCATTGTTGGGCCACTGAGAAGGTGGTCTCTGTGTTGTCACCCATGGTGCCTACACAAGGGAAGATGACCATTAGAAGAAAATGCTTAGAACAATTTCACACCTCTCTTCATCTCACACATGTATACAAATATATCTTTATTGTTTGCACAGCTCCATTTTCTGTACCTCGTTTGCAATTTCTGTGTATTCATGCACTCTCTCTACAGCCACAATGTTTGTCTCCAGCTCCGATGTCATTCGCACCAACCAGTTCAGAGTTTGAGTTATCTAAATAAATTAATAGAGGTATCACTATAATCATTCTGCTTCTTCAATTCCCTCTCTCTGATCAAATACTTACACTGAATATATTCCACTTGGAGGCAATTTATAGACCCCCAACATCATGTCCATATGCGCTTATTTTACTACAAGCATCATAGTTTCTTCCTCTAAGGCAGTGTTACCCAAACTTGACAATTTTAAGGCATGAGGACTTCAACTCCCAGAATTCCACAGCCAGCGTTGCTGGGAGTTGAAGTCCACATGCCTTAAAATTGTCAAGTTTGGGAAAGGCTCCAGGGGAATAACTTCAACATTTTGGGCAATGCAAATATGGGGAACTTGAAACTTTTGAAATGTTCCTAAACTAGAATTTTCGGCATTTTTCACTATTCAGTATTTGGGTTACACTGGGCTGCCGGGAGTTCAAATTCAGGGGATTTGGAGGGCTTCAGTTGCATGTGGTCAGAGTTAGTTACCAAGTTTCCATGAAAAGATCTTATTTGTCTCATTCCACTTTCTTCTCAATGATTATGAACTGATTTATAAACCCATTGATTTCATCCGAGAATGTCTAATTTCTAATATATGAATTTTACTGTCAGAATTAATCATATGGTCAATTGAGCATCACATTTAAAGTTTACCTGCTTGATATTTCTCTTATTGTTAGTAGTACTGTACTATCACAATGGATTTGCAATAAAAATGGTGCCTGAAGCCCAGGCTTAGGAGGATTGCAGCCAGATAAATTTACAATTAGAACTGATACATCAGTCATATCAGTACACATACACCTCCCCCCCATTCAGCTATCTCTTTGTCTTAGAATATGAGTCTCAGTTACTCACATTCAGAGCCGAGGAGATTGAGAGTCCCACAATGCCACCGTTCAAGGAATCTTTAACAAAGACTGCTAGAAGTGCTGCAAAGAAAATTGTAAAATTCCCCACCAATTCTAGTCGCACAGCCAGCCACCTTTAGAAAAAGAGAGATAATGAGAATCTATGACATCTCATAAGCAATCTTGACTGCTTTGTAAAGGAGTGATTGTTTCAGAATAACCTCAGATTAATCTCCTCTCATTGGCTTGCTACAGAAGCGGCCCCTATATACCTTCTCCTGACCTCCTAAATATCTGGTTCATACCACAGAGAGTCCTCGACTTATAACAGTTCATTTAAGGACTGCTCAAAGTTACAATGGCACTGAAAACAGTGGTTTATGACCATTTTTTCAAACTTATGACTATTACAGCATCCCCATGGTCACATGATCAAAATTGAGATGCTAGGCAACTGCTTCCTATTTATGACGGTTGCACTGTCCTGGGATCACGTGATCCCCTTTTGCAACCTTCTGACAAGAAAAGTCAGTAGGGAAGTTAAGAGACTCTAGCTTCTGTGATTCACTTAATAACTGTGGCCAGAAAGGTCGTAAAATTGAGCAAAACTCACTTAATAAGTGTCTCACTTAGCAGTGAAATTTTGGGCTCAATTATGGGCATAAGTCGAGGACTACTTATATATTTCTCAATAAAGTATTATTTATCTGATTATGTCTTATTTCTCCCTTCTACTGGCTGCAGTTTTAGTATTATTTTTTTCTGTGTTGTTTTGTGTCTATTCTATTCTATTCTATTCTATTCTATTCTATTCTATTCTATTCTATTATTATTCCATTCTATTCTATTATCTATTCTGAAAGCTAACCTTAGGAAGATTATCTACTGATGCTACTTGAGGATGAATGGCCCATATTGGAGCAAAGGCTGGAAACCAGCTAGATGTACCTATCAGATCATGCTTCCAACTAGACTAGAATATTGCAAAATGTCAGACGATCTGGGGACTATTCAGTAGTTGAGGATGGGAGACCAATTGTCTTTCATGATGGCAGTGAAAAAAAACCTGGCAACCTATGTCCTAGATTTATATCTTCTACAGGAGAGACTTGCCTGTTGGAAACAAGCCAAGAGTAAACAGACTTCTGATTCATATCCACAATCTTCTCATTGTGCTGCAGGAAGCGCTCCTGGTGCCCAAAAGCCCGGATGACAGAAAGACCAGATACTGTCTCACCAAAATGGGAATAAATTGGAGACCTGGTGACAGAGTCCAAACGTCGTAGCTGGCGGGATGTAGCCACGTAGAATTGCTAGGAAGAAAGAGATAGCTCAGCAAGATCCTTGAAACTATATTAAGACACTTCATATTGGCGTTTGCTTTTCTCAGTTTTAGCTAATATTCTTATAAAACAAAATTGTGGCATCCTATAGTTTCAAGTGTACATTATATTGGCACATAATTCTTGTATCTGAGCAATTTGTTTGTAATTAATATTCCTAAAGCAAAGGTCTATTTTCCCACAACATAGATGTGTATGTTTACATACAATTCACCTCAGAGTCTGGCCATGTTCTTTTAACATGTTCTTTGCTATCTTATGACTATCATAGCTACAGGGGAATATCATTTCAGAAATGAACAAAACAAACACTAGGACAAATCTGTGTTATGAGAGGAAAAGAAGACTATTCCATTTCAGGAATATGTGATTTAATTTATCTTTTGTTTTATACACCCAAGATTCAAACAATTAGTTCTTCAATTTATGGCATTTCCATTATCATGAAGACTCATCAGAAAATTCATAACAGGATTACGGTTTAAGATTATTTTATAGAAAGATTTATAGGGAGTCAAATTTTTCTGATTGAGATCCAAAAGAGTCAAGTATATTTAAGAATATTAGAATGCAATAGTTATTGAGTATTGAGAGTACAAGAAGGTATTAAGTATTCCTGAATCTGCCTTGTTTTGAAACCTACAGGACTTTCACTGACTTTTGTTTCACATTCTACAAGGCATCACAGAATTGGATCTAAACAGGCAGCAGCCATTTTGGAAATGAATTTCTCAGTAAGAGCTCTAAGAACTCTGAAGGTTTTATTGCAAGAATATCCACTCCCACCCCTATTGACAACTCACTAGAATGAAGTAGTACACGATTCCCAAAGGCAGGATGATAATTGCAAAATAAGGCGTAGCTAAGCAAATTATCACTAGAGTACTGAGAATCATAAAGAAGCAGTTCATCCAGGAGCGAAGTGATATTGGAATAGTCTCGTCCACAGTGAAAATATCCTGTAAAAAAGAGGATGAGAATAAAAATAAAACTAGTAAAATAAGAATAGTCAGCAGAAGCCAATGGATGATGCAATCTAACCGTACTTTTATACCAAATTCAAGTAATTTATGCCTCTATTCTAAACTTTTCATACTGTAAGCCCTCTTTCCAATAATGCAGTGGTGAGGGTATCTCTTAACTGTTCTTGGATTATAAAAAAATAACTTTCTTCATTCAATTCAAGGATCTCAGAGTACAAAATGTTAAAGGTAGTATTGGGCATCAGTGATGGTTGACGAGCTTATAAGAAAACTAGTTTAAATTTCCTCCATATAGAAGATATCAGAAAATGCATCCATGGCCGGTTTTCTGTTTATTAATGGGTTTATTCTTTTGTTTATTCAGATGTACAAAAATTCCATGTTCACATGTTAGCAAAGGTTGGCTAGTTATGGACGGTTCATTACTACATTATCTGTAGTAGATGGAGCAATTGGGTATGTGTGAAACAGCACAGCATGAAATCTAAACTGGTCCAGAAAGGAGAATATTAGAAACCCAGTATCGAAATGACTGAGCAAGGTATAATGACTGAGCATCAGTATAATCAAGAATTAAATTCTTGACTGGTGATAGGAAATAGATCAGTGTTTCTCAACCTTGACAATTTTAAGGCATGTGGACTTCAACTCCCAGAATTCCACAGCCAGCATTGCTGGCTGTGGAATTCTGGGAGTTGAAGTTCACATGCCTTAAAATTGTCAAGGTTGAGAAACACTGAAATAGATCAAAGAAAGGCAAAATCTCTAGCCTAAGAGAAAACATCTAGGAAAGACTCTTTTGAAACACAGGAGGGAAGGTGGAGATTAGATGTCTGCAGGGAGGGAGTCCCAAAGCCTAAAGGCCTGTCTGATTTGATCAGACAAGCATTTGACTATAGGAGAAGGCAGTCCTGAAGATAACTAGGTCATAGCTATGTAGGGCCTGGAAGGTAACAAGCAGCACCTTGAATCGCATCCAGAAGCCAACTAGCAACCAATGCAGCTCCTGAAGCAATGGAGTCACATAAGTATAATAGGAAACACCCATCAGCACTTGGCCAGTCCCTTTTGTACTAGCTGTGGTTTCCAAATGCTTTCTGAGGGCTCCATTACAAATCCAAAGGAGGGATGGCTAGAGGATGACAGATTGTGAGCAGAGTTTTGCGATCCAGAAATTATTGTAATTACACATTAGAAATAGCTGCATTATAACCCTCCTGAACACAATTGCCACCTTCTTATCAAATAGGAATTGCACCTAGGAGACCCCCAGATTCAAGATACTGGCCCACTCATGATTAGTACTTAGGCTGTATCAATTACAAGGTCCCCACAAAGCCAGAGTTTTGACCTTGGCAAATCTGTTCACTATACGACCAGTTGGTGTTGAGTCAAAGAAACTCATAGGCACGCGCAGGATATTACTGAGGAGCTGTTTGTGCAGGATCCGGGAAGCTCGGATAGTACCAAAGGAAGCAAGAACAATTGAGATCAGCAGGAAGAAACCTAGAAGAAACACAAGCACCGTTCAGAGCCTGATGCAGGTGGGGATGTTGATAAGGTACTCTGAATAAAATACATTTGGCTTCTGTTACCTTTGTGTTGTATCTTGATATTATAAACATTCAACTCAGTCTTCTGCTATGTTCTCTCAATTCATTCTGTTTTGAAGTACAGAATTCAAACCTCTAAAAAGAATCTACCAATATATTTGTATAGCATAATTTATTATGCTGATGATGGGATGGCCTTTTTTTGCTGTTTATGATAATTCTCTGTCCCTCCAGAGTGTTTTTTCCAGTCTGAGGAGAGGGGAAGGGATAATAGCAAGGGGTCAGATTTTGGGGAAACTTACTGTTGCTTACACCCAGCACTCCATAGATTCCAACACGCATATCACGTTCTGTGACTGGATAGGTCTTATTCTCATAGCGTAGAGCATCATTCGTCCAGTCACTAAGCCAGAGGTTGAAACCAACGGAGGATGCAGTTTGCCCAATATAACCGATGAGGATGCTTAATGAGAGGCCCCAACCGACAGCATGAAAGTATCGCAGATATGTAAATAGCTTCACCTGTATAACACAGCATTGTTATGAATCATACACTGCACAATTGTTTTGTACTTTATAATATCAGATCCTACAGACTCCTTACATTCCAGTAAATATGTATCTCACAAATATATTGACATGGATATAATAGAAACAGCTTAGAATATCATAACTAAAGACAGAGCTATTCACAGGAAGGTTGTAGTGGAAATCCCAAAGTTCTTATACTAGGCATCAGATAATGGCAAAAAAAAGAGTACAAACACACATAGACAAGAATCGAGACCTCAAAACTAGAGTGTCATTACACTTTCTTAGGGGTGTGAGAGGAAGAAAATAAAGGAATAAAGTTGAAAGTGTGGTCTGCACTTAGGAAAAGCAATGCTGAAAACATGGGTTGGAATTGGCTGCTGCTAGGCAAAAACAAAAGCCCTCCCAATGCTAGATTCAGTTCATCCCCCAACCCCCTAAGGCAGGGGTAGGCAACTTTGGCTCTTCTATGACTCATAGACTTCAACTTCCAGAATTCTGGGAGTTGAAGTCCATGAGTCATAAAAGAGTCCAGGTTGCCTACCCCTGCCCTAAGGGGACATGGTTGTTTTACAGTCCTGGCTCTGCCAAGAGATCTGAGGGGGAACAATTGGGGAATCTGCTGAGAGAAAGGCAGACTGAGCCACATGGCCACACTATTGGACTGATATAATGGTGTCCCCAGCCGGCTATTTTAGCCACAGCTTGGCCTTTTCGGGGCCTTGCTGAAGCCCATAGTCTGCTTATTAGCATACCTCTCAACCTATAAAAGGGAGAGCTAATGCAGAACATAGCAAGCAGATGAGGAAATAGAAAATGACGTCTAGGTAAGTGCAACAATGACAGGCAAGACATAAGGTAAACTGCTAGAACCACAAGCCACAATAAGCAGCCAATCTTGGCTTGATCCTGCCTGGAGCTTAGGAGCTCAGCTTTGTTGCTTAACAGCATCATTGCTTAGAGTAGAGTTGGAACCTGGCTTGGAGCCTAGCAACAACTTTGTAGGCATATAAGGAGCATCCACATTGAGGCAACACATACTTTCCAATGAATGCAAGAATTTTTGAAGAGGACTATATTTCAGTTTAGTAACTTTAATAACAATAAGGACTAAGCTCTAAAGCATTGAGAGAAGAGAAACTGTCTTGGGCCATATATAAAATACATAATTTAGTTAATGTATATAAGTATATTACATAATGTTAAAAGTTCACGATCTTGTGGAACTGCATTACTAGCTCTCCAGAGCCATATATGGCCTGCAGGCCGCAAGTTGGACATCCCTGCTTTAAAAGGTTATGTGGTTAAGCCAACTCATATGGGCTAGGACAGGGGTAGGAGGATGAAGTTAGAGCCCTGCCCAGCCAATGCAACAGCCTTTTATTGAGGAAGCTGTGTGATATAACGATGTGTTGTGTAAATTTATCATAGTGTCATTGCAAAAAGAAACCCCCACAATGCTTCATTCCTTCACTACCATCCATAAATAATCTCTATATAGTTCTTTGAAAGGGATGCAAAATTCCCATGTCTTCATCTCTTACCCTGCCAGTTTCCATGGCTTCCTTATCAATCAATCTCTGTCCTTTAAACTCTGTCATTGTTTTCTTGTCATTCAAATGCCCTTGATGACTCTTCCTGATAGATATGTTACTGCTGGTACTGCGGCTAGAACAGAAATGTTAATGGTAAAAGGCAGAATTTCTAGATAGCGGCTGCTCTGGCACTATATTGTCTTGCTCTTTAAAAATATTTCTGAAAAAAGAATCTTCCAAAGGGTTCATAATGCCTATGCACCCTTGCCTAAAACAGCTCAGAAAGGAACCCAGTGATGAAATTCTAGGTTGGCTAATAGAGGTCCAGAGGAACACGTTGCTTGATGGCTCTTTCCCAGAGGTTCTGCCCAGCCAATATAACCTAATGGAGTTGCTTTGTTCAGAGTTCATTCAATTAAACAGTGCCATCTATCAGGACACAGGCCCTCTCTATTGCGTCACCTGCCCTCTGGAATGAGATCTCCTATGGCTCCCACCCTGATGCCATCCTGGAATCTCTAAAAGACCTGAATGTTCTCCCAAGTTAGGTTGGATGGGGCCCCTTATTGGATGTTTTATACAGTACGTGTTTTTGTGTGTATGCGTGTTTATGTGTGTGTTAAGTGGTCAGATTCCCATCGTTTATCTATTTTGTACTGTGTTTTTATTTTGTTTTAGTTGTATTATGAGCTGCCAAGAGGTAGGCTGTGGAAAGGAAGGAAGGAACTAAGCTATGTAGTGTTCCTTAATGAACCTATGGTCCACAATAGAACAAGACAGCACCAGAGCAAAGCTGACAGAGAATTGCACAGAAGATCGGCTTGATTAGCTTGCATCCAAGCAAATTGATAGAGAAACCTTCTCAAATCTAGGTGCTATCAAGATGTGTGGATGAGTGAATGGCTTCAATCCTACTCTTCAAAAAGATTTATTGAATTTACTTTGGTCCTTAGCCGCATTTGGTGCCTTATTGTGTATTTTATTTTTTTCCCTCTGTTTTATCTTATTACTCAGCATGTTAGGATTAAGGTAGGAAAAATAAACACATATCCCATATAACTAGAAGATGCCCATATTAGGGCAAGCTATGATAAGACAAGACTATGATTTACTGGGTATACGGGGGCTGAGTGTCATTATTAGTTACTTCTGTGGCCCAACGTGTTAGAAAGGAACAGTTTCTTGAAATTGCATACTTTGGAGAATTTCCCACTGCTTCGTCTGAGAACTTTTCCTTAACCACAAACATTAGTGGAAACCAGGCATTACTGTAGTTATAGATAAGAGTTGTCACTATAAAAATGAATTGTCCAAGATCCCTTTTCTATCCTTTCTATTTGTTGCCAGTGGATGTTCTGCAGTATGGTAAACAGTGGAACAAAGCTTTGTAAATTATGGTCTGTGGATGACACAAACCAGCATCAGGAGGACAAAGATAAATTTTAGGTTGCTGAGCTGTTTCCAGTGATGCTTCAATAATTTATTTATGAAGAAAGATAACCAGACCAGGTTCAGGAGATATGCAAAAATCACAAAAGGGCAGGGAAAAAAAGAAGGGGAAAAAACCAGTGACTGAAAAAAGCAGAAAAAACAAGTGGAGAAAGGGAATAAAGGAACAATGGGCTTGTAAAAGAACTGACCTGCGGTTGAAGATTTTTTGTTGGACACTGGCCTCATTCTTCTGTGTCATAGTCACCACATCAGCTGGCACCTCTTCAGTTACAAGTTCAGGATAATCATCCAGTTCCTGCTCTTCTTCTATGCCTGCTAAAAATAATCAAGAGCATGGGACGTTTGAATAGAAGGAAGGAAACAGTTCTCAGCGGAGCAAATCTGAAGTTCATCAAATTACATCTTATTGCCATGAGAGTAATTGTAGATGCTGTATCTTTGGTTATTGTTACCGTACCCATAGCTTCTTCTTCATGTATATTATCCTGCTGGTTGCCATATGTGTTGAGCAACTGAGCAAATGATCCACTATTTGCCAGTAAGGTATTGTAGGAACCACGTTCCGTGACAGATCCAGCCTCTAATACGACAATATCATCAACTTGTGCAAGGAAGCTTAAGTTATGAGTCACTAGGATCCGTGTCTGTAGCACAAATAAGTGTAACAAATTCAAAGAATAGTTTAGCATTCCTAGTCATGCTATCCCAGATTTAGGTCATGTTAAATAAACAATGATTCTACAAAGCATTCAGTGCCCTCAGTATTTTTTTTTCTCTTTCTCTTTTCAAAGGATATTTTTTAAATTTATAATAGTTTATTTATGTATCTTAAGTAATTTTATATGAATTTTTATATGAATAAATACTAAGAAGTAGAAAAAGGAAAAGGAAAAGAACAAAAGAAAGTAGTAACAAACATTAAAAAGGGGGAAACTATGCATGTCACACGTCTCTCACATATCAGACAATACTAAAACATATCTAAATTAAAAAACTAAATGATAACTTTCTATTGTTACAAAGTTTCTAAAATCAATGGCAAAGGAGCAAATTTTCTGACTGATTATGTGCCAGCAAGTCATTTTTAACTCCTAACAACCAGATAGGTAGATTTTCTCCATGAAGAAGAAAAGCAGAAGATATTGCTTTTATTTTTTTTATTAGTGGATAAAATTGCCGTTTCAAAAACAGATAAATTAAATATCTCTTGAATCAAAATCTTAATATCAGAAATACTATTTCTACTACTACTACTTTTCCATTTCTCAAAACAATAACCAAAGCCCAATACAACCATGGCTCCTCAAAAATAGAGCATTGTTGCTCAGATACTTAATTCTTTTCATGATTAGGTAAGTGTTCTACCCTTGGTCTCTTTACCCCTCCCCTATATTTTTCAACCATCTGAATTTCAGTATGCAAAATTGCCAAATGTTCTGTGGCCCCCTCAGCATATGCCATGGCCTGTTTCTTACATTTTTCACCTGAGGCCTCCTTGAAATATCCTACGGACCCCTGATGAGAACTCCTGACTTAGGCAATCAAGCCTACTCTTTTCCTTCTCTTGCCTTTGGTTGTAAGGGACAAGAGCCAACCATCACAACCTTATGTCATTCGTTAGTAATCATTCTTCTTAGGAATCCAATCTGAGGGAAATGGTAAGGTTAGGATTAATGGTCTGCCATTTGAATAGTCTTATTGACTTTTTAAACCAGCTGGAAAACCAAATCTTTAAAAAATCCTTGCACCCAAGCCAGCCAATATCTTTTAGGGATGGGGATTAGTATTAGTTTTGTTATGTCCCTGCCAGAGGCCAGCTCGGATGAGGAGGGCGAGCTGGACTCAGGACCATCAGAAAGGGGAGATGTGGGGTATCCAAAGACTGAGGAAAGCACATGGATGGGAGTCAGTTCTGAGAATGTCAGGGAGTGGGTAAGTGTTTGACTGGACGAGCAGCCACTTGCACAAGCATAAGAACAAGAGATGGATCAGCAGCAGGTCAACTCTAATGAGAACAGCTGCTGTTCCCGCCTGATCCATGGACAAGGAGAGCCAAATGCCAAGAGGCACAGAGGAAGTTAGCAAGGCTACTTGCAAAGAAGCAGCCTCACCCCACCTAATGAGAAACACCAGCCGGGGTTGATTTAAGTAGTGGACACAGGGGGTTGGTTGGTTGTTGGAGGCAACCATTCACAATTAGTCATTTTGTGCATGCTCTTGACTTCCTTCTGCCTTGAACCTCCTTGCTACTTGCTGATTTCATTGTGCCTTGACTCCTTGGACTGCATGACGATTTCCTCGTGATTTGAACCTTTTGACTTCCCATTGACTTTATCGTGCCTTGACTGCTTGGGCTCCGTTTTGTTTTCCTCCTGCCTTGAACCTATTGACTTTGCATTGACTTTGTTGTGTCTTGAACTCATTTAACCATGTTTGCCTGTGCTGTGCTTTGAAAGAAGACAGTTGGGGCAATTTACCTGGCTAATGTTACCCCCCCACCCCCAAGCCTTAGAAGCAAAGAGGACTGTGGTTTGTTGGAAACAGACTTCTGAAGGACTGAACTTGCGGTTGGGACCTGGGGAATGACAAACGGGTTTGACAGAGTGAAATAAACATGTTGAACCCCGTTTGTGTGCTTGTGTGGACTGGGACAGGACAAGCTTCCTATATGGGCTATGTTCTGGTATGGTTTATTATTTTCTTCTAAGAAAGAAACATATATTAATTTTTATAATAATAAATAAAAAATATCTACTATACTCAAAAACACAACTCATAGTGCAAATTTACCTTATTCTGTAACAGTCCTTCTGGCCCAAGCACTTTGTCAAAAATGTGCCGTCCTACATGGGAATCCACAGCTGAGAGGGGATCATCCAATAAGTAGGTATCCGCATTGTTGTACACAGCTCTAGCCAGGCTAACGCGTTGCTTCTGACCTCCACTCAGGTTAATTCCCTATGGAAGAAAGTACAATGAACCTCTCCATGATCCATACTAGTGACATTGTTTGCACAGAAAGCTAATTCCAGGGCTACTTAAATCAAGGATGATTACATCATAAATCCTATAGTATTTGTTTGCTAGGCTTAAGATTTTTTTTTTTTGCACAATTAGAGAGTTAGCCAGTTATTCTTCAAGTTAGAAGAACAAGATTGGTTAAGTTGTGAAAAATTTTCCTGATAAATCTGGCAGAAATTAAACTAATTAATATACTGGCTCCTACTACTCTACCTCTCAGTGTTTCTTTGATTATTGAGCTCAATGGTGATACCTTTTCTCCAATCTCAGTCAGGTCTCCTCCTGGAAGCAATTGTAGGTCAGGAAGCAAAGCACAGGCCTCTAACACTTGTTGATATCGAGCCTCATAGAGGGGGGACCCAAAAAGGATGTTGTCTTTCAAAGTTGCATTTTGTATCCATGCTTGCTGAGGCACATAGGCCATAGAGCCCTGAAAGAAAAGGAAAAAAAAATATCCAGCTACTTAAGATAATAACTGGAAAGAACTATTGTCTTTCGTCAACAGTTGGGTCAAGGAGGAATGCAAGGAAAAAGAAATGATGTTCATTGAGTACTTAAGACTGGCAAAGTCTGTGGCAGAGTAACTTTTTAAAAACAGTCAGGTGAGGGATTGGCCCGAATCCCTTTCAGACTGCAGGCAACAATTCACATTTTCGAAGGTTCAGATGTGTGGGAAATCTCTCTACAAGGGAATAAGCTAACATAGTAACTCTCTGATAGAACTATCTATTTACTGGGAATGGAACAGGATGTTTGTTTTATTGCTGTTTTTAAACAGAGATGAGCTTCCAAACAGTAACCTTACTTCAGGATTCTACCAGAGTACTTAGTTCTATTTATTACATAGTCCATATTTAATTCAGGAAAAAAGGTTTTCCCTTCACCTGAATATTGATGTGTCCCTTGATGTTCTCCATCTCGCCCAACATGGCAGATATCAATGAAGATTTTCCTGATCCCACAGACCCCACTATGGCTACAAGGCTTCCACGAGCAATTTCCAAGGTGATGCTGTAGAGAAGAATGCCATATAAACAGATGTGAAGTAATGCCTGGAGACAGTTTAAAAAATGGTTGTCAGTCCCTATGCTAAAGAGCATGGTCTCCAATGAAGCAGTGCCAGATATCCTCTAAGAACAAGAGAATGTTTTTGTTTGTTTGTTTTGCCCAACTCAGTATGTCACTGAATAAAAAGAACACCATTCCACCCACAACCCAACCTGTGCTCTATATGGTGACTTACTCTTTTACAGTGACATCAGAATCCTGTTCCCAGGCAAAAGAGGCCTCGTGAAATTTCACAGCACAGGCTGGAAGACAAAGAAAGGGTAACATCAACATTAAGGAGAGAGAACTACTCGGTCCAGACCCAGTACACAAACAGACTTGTCCTTTGGCATATTTTTCCCCAGAGCTTTACCTGTTTTGACCACCCAATTCTGAACCCTAAACTTAATTTACCAGGGGTGGAATTATGCCATATAGCTGAAGTGTTCAGGTCTGCACTACCCAGGTATCGCTCTAGTCGATCAGTAGATACTTTCACCTGTAAAATTTAAAGACAAAGTCAGAGATGGTAGCTCCAGAGCCATCAGGCAGTCTTGTTGGATACTTCTTAGAATCTATTTGATAGTTTTTAATACTTCAAGTCAGACTGAGGAACATATATAGGTGACTGAGCTTAAATTTATAACTTCTCATGCTGTACACATATTCTAATGGAATTTCTTTGCCAATGGTACAAAATAAATATGGGAAAGAGATCAGCACTAATTCTGAAATCAGGCTCCTTCTCCCCAGATGTATATATTCCTTGTAAGGCTGCTCACTTGCACCATGGAGGACAGTGTCAATGGAAACATGGAAAGCGGGAAGCGCAAGATATTGAAGAGAGCTATAGAAGTAAAGGCCTTCTGTGCATCCAAGATGTTGTTCTCATCTATCATCACATAGACAGCAAAGGTAGCCACAGAGACCTAGGTGACAGAAGTGGAAAAAGCAAATGAAAAGTGATTGAGTTGGGGTTATTTACTTTCTAAAGAAATGTCTTAAAATTCTGGAGAAATGCTCACTAAGGAAAGACTACAAGCTGGAGACAGATTTAGAATAGGAGGGCGAGATATGGATTTTTCCACTTTTCTCCCATATAAAAATCTTTCCTGCTTTTTTTTTTTTTTAAAAAAATTGCATATATTTCTGGTAAGCATTTGTAATGCATAATTTTTGTACATACTATTTCTAGTGTGCACATTATTTGCAAACAAATGTTTTCATAGGAAATGCCCGTTCATATACAGTATTTCTATAATAATATCTGCATTAATATAGTTAAGACTTTTCTGTGATATATATTAATGTATGTGTTGATGTTGGTGCCTAGCTTTTAAGCTGTAAATTGCATTGCAAAAATCAGGAAGGTGCATATTTTAGTATGTTCATATGTTCTGAGTTATCCTATATATGCAGTAGGTCCAAACTAGCATATTTACTTAAACATCTTAATAAAACAATGTTCCCATCCATATCTAGTTTGTGCCACAAGAATTATCTTTCTACACCAGATCAAATCTTATCAGCAATAAAAACTATAATTGCTTCTCTAATTCATGCTTAAAAATATATTGTTGGTTATTAAAATGGTTATCAATAAAGTACTGTTCTCTAAAACAGCTAAAAATTAATCCTTTGCTAATTACTTCTAATTATAGTTAAAAATAATTATTTCTGAAAATAATCAGCCTATTTTTATAGACTTATCTCAAAAGAAATGCTTTAATTCTACAGCTATAGTTGGCAGTCCATTTATGTTTGCAATTCAGAGTCTTTAGTCTAAATCAGTCTTTCTCAATCTGACGTGGTATCTAGAGAGCAACAAATATGGGAAGGCAAAATGTTTCTAACTGTGTCGCTTTGTGAGTCAGACATACATTTAACCTTCAGTCCTTGAGAATTTTTTTTTTTTTTTTTTTTTTTTGGTAGTAGTAGGATGGTTGTGGATTTGCACTAAGTACATTCAGCTTTTCCAGTCTTCAATCCAAACTCATAGTGTAATGTTTTGTTTTAACTGAAGACAGGCAATTGTCTTGAGTCTAAGTCAACAAACTTTGGCCATCCCTCTTAATTAAAATTAGTCAGGCTAGAGACTATCCCTCCGTAGCCGGCTGTCCTGCACATGTGTTAAGACCAAAGCCCAGAAAGACAAGGCCATGTGAGAAATTGCCAAGTTGCTGCTGGACTCATCCTCATTAACATCTATCAGTATAAATAGAATCATACTGATAGGTACTGCAAAATTTTTATTTGTGTCTCACATTTCATTTACTTGTTTACCTCTTCTTAATGCCCCTCCCATTCCCTGGATTGCCTTACTAGGAAAGGTGCACAAGAGAAGAGGAAGATGCCAACTGATTGTAGATGGAAAAAGCGCAGCAGTCCTTTCAATTCCAAAGCCCGGATCTTTTCAACTTGCTTCTGAAATGAGAGCTCCCAAGCAAAGAACTTCAGGATCTGAAAAATATTCATCAATAGAAGAGAACATATGTAGCTCAGAATGGAGTCATTGGTGCTCTCTGAGACTGGTTATTTGCTTGCAGATGTTTCATTACCTGACTAGGTAATATCATCAATACTAATGATTGTGGGGGAAATGGAGAAAATCACATCTTCACCAACCAAGCTCAGAAAGCACAAAAGACTCCAGATATTCATCAAATGGTGTGTGGGGGGGGGAGGCAGTGCTCAGTCATACTGATATCCCCAACAATTCAAAACAAAAGAGATGGCTTCTTTCTACTCTGCTTCCATTTTTAAGGTGGGCAACATCCAGCTCATTAGACTAGCATGTACACTGATAACACTCAAAGGAAACTTTGATACTGTCACATGTTTGTTTCAGGATGGCATCTAAGAGAGACTTCAGGTAAATCATAACTGCTACATATCTTGTCTGGCTAAACTGAGACAAACAATTCAGAAATCTTAAGACACCCTTAAGTACTCTACTGCAAACAAGTAATGTGGTGTTCTGCAGAATACACACAAATAAGTTGTTCAGTCCTTGAAACAGACTTAAAACATTTTTAAATTTTCCAATATCTCAATCCTAAAAATCCCACCCCACGCACTACAGCCTCAGGTCACCCCCTCCCAAATATACAGAGAAAAAATCTTTGGCCTTCAGAAGGTTATCCACTCTTACACCATGATTACAAAATCTACAATCTCTGGTCTACTGTGGTTTCAGGTTTATTTTTTCTTTGAGCTTCCCCACTTTTGCCTTTGGCCCTATCCAGTGATGTTTATAGACCAGGGTACAAGTGAGGAAATGTGTACCCCAACAGGAAAAAGTATTCTATTATAACCCCCTAGTGGTCTGACCAATGCAAGATATAGCAATAAAACCCCACTGATGGCAACCAGTTTATTGCTCACCTTGATACCATTAAGAATTTCAGTCATTATTTTCATGCGTTCATCCTTGTGGTTCATATTTTTCACCTGATAAAATAAATGAAGTACATATCAGAGCTGAGAATTACAGAATCATATAAAAGATTAGATGCTTATGTGGATACCTCCACTGGCTGATTAATTTTATTTTCCTTAGAAAATAAAATTCTGAAACTCTTTGACCCAATTACTCTTTTTCCCAGTCTCAAATAAATAAATAAATAAATCCACCTAGACTGTTATTAATTAATTAATTAATTTTTAAAAAACACCCAGACTCTTTTTTTTTACACAAGCATCTCGGCAGCGGCATCAGAGTAGGTCTACATTACCATCAGGTTAAGAACCAATGCCTTAAAAAAGTGAAAGGGGTTGGCTGCTGTGTCTGAAAGGAAAATGAGGGATTGCATTGCCTAGGCCAGGGGTAGGCAACCTTGGTTCTTTTATGACTCGTAGACTTCAACTCCCAGAATTCCTGAGCCAGCATGGTTCAGCTTGGAAATCTTTCCCTTTCCCCTCAACATGGCTGGCTCAGGAATTCTGGGAGTTGAAGTCCACGAGTCATAAAAGAGCCAAGGTTGCCTACCCCTGGCCTAGGCTGACCCAGTGCCTAATCTGGGAGTTCTTCTGGACTTGCAACTCCTGCTCGAGGTAGGACTTGTAGCCAGGAAGGCCTTGCACAGCTTTCAGTTGTGTACTAGTTATTTCCATTCCTGGACTAAAATGCCCTGCTTACAGCCACCCACTGTCTCTCCTGTTTTGACTATTGTAATGCACTCCACATGGGACTGCCCTTGAAGAATATCCAGAAGCTTCAGTTAGTTCAAAATCCAGCAGCTTTAATAGTTTGTGTGGGCCTAGCCCTAGACTTACATATGTGTTGCCTCCTCTGCGGGAGCTGCACTGGCTGCCAATCTGCTTCTGGGTACAATTCAAGGTGATTTACATGGTTTACATGGCTTGGGGCCAGGCTATTTGCAGGACTACCTCTCATCTGATATATCCACCTCATGCATCAGAACAGGAAGGCAGGGTTATGGGTCCCATTGATTAGGAACATACATCTGGTGGAGCCATGAAAAAGGGTCTTTTTACTGGTAACCACTTCTTTATGGAATATCATTCCCCCTGAGGTAAGGTTGGCCCCACCCTGTTGCTTTTCCAAAAGGCCATAAAAATGCAGTTTCATCACTAGACTTGAGGACAATGAATGGACATAGAGCTGATCAACAAGATGAGAAATTGCTGCCATAGAGGATGGAGGGGGTGTATATATATATATATATATATATATATATATATATATATATGTGTGTGTGTGTGTGTGTGTGTGTGTGTGTGTGTGTTTTCTCCCACGTAAAATTGGAAGTGTCTTGGCGACGTTTCGACGAAGTCCCATTCGTCATCTTCAGGCTGGTGTTTTCAGCTTTGTGAAGCACGAAGCTGAAAACACCAGCCTGAAGATGACGAATGGGACTTCGTCGAAACGTCGCCAAGACACTTCCAATTTTACGCGGGAGAAAACCCGAACAACCAAAGACCTACATACAAATACCCGCGAAAACCTCAGAAAACAGATATATATATATATATATATATATATATATATATATATATATATATATATATATATATATATAGCTTCTCCTCTTATTAGCATTGCTACCAGATTTGCTGTTTGTTTGCTTATTTTCCTTCAGTGCAACCAGTTACTTACTTCCAGATGGAAAGCAAAGGAATAAGTAAACATCTTCATTTATTGTTCCTCCATCAGACTAGTATTGTTTTTTGGAATCAGAAAGCTGACTAAGCAAAGTGCAGGGGTAAAAAGGAAGAGCGTCCCTGAGAAGCATTTCTCAAATTGGCCTCTGGTGAAATATGGGTCTTCAGCAAATTCCAGTTAGGCTAATCCTTTGTGACAGTATCTGAAAAAGAAAACCTGTACTTACCTGAATAGTCCTGGATTTAGAGACCAGCACACCATTTAAAGGGATAAGTAGCACCATCACACCAATCCCAGCAAGCACAGAGGGCCCCAGCTCAGCCCACAGAAAGACAAGAGATATAATAATCTGCAGTGGAGATGACCACAGCTGATGCATATAGACTGCGAAATCCATGAAACGCTGGGCATCTACAGACATCAGATTCACTGTCTCGCCCACTGTTGATTCCTTCCGTGTAACATTGGAGACTGTAAGTGCCTGAGAACAGAATTGATTTTGAGGTTTTGAAACAGAATATTGTTCAAATGCATTGATCTGCATCCTGATGCTCTTTATCTTTGCTTTGATCAATGCCCCAGTTATCCCTAACCAAACAAGGCACTGGCCAGGAATGCTGAGAATGAAGGGAAATTGAACCATAACGTTTTGATGGGTACAAGGTTGGGGAAGACCATTCTAATATATTAGTTAGGAGCAATATTTTATTCAGCTAACCTCAAAGCAGAGGTTAATAATAATAATAATAATATAATATTATAATATAATAATTAATATAATATAATGTATATATATAATGTGTATATATATATATAATGTATACATTATGTATATAATGTATAATATATATAAAATGTGTGTGTGTGTGTGTGTGTGTGTATATACACACATTTAATGTATATTATATATTATACATGTCTTGAGTGTTGTTGTTTTTTTTATGCACCCTGTTGGCCCAAATATGGGAAGAAGAAATCTTTTGCCTGTATTGGTGGGGGTGTGTGGAGTGCTGGCTTAGTTGCTATAGGTGGATTGGTTGGCTGTGTAGAAGCTATTGTTTGTTTGGCTGTTTCGTAACATCCTGAGTAGTTGAGGTGCTGGCTGTGTGCCCATTAGTCTTTTGTGTTGTAACGACCTGGGTAATGGGTTGTGTGATGACATCCTGAGATCTAGTGTAGTGATATCCTGAGATCTGTGTTGCACCATCCTCGGTGGTTGGCTGTGTTTGCATTGTAGCCTCCTGAGTTCTGTGATGTGATGTCCAGGGCTGAAGGCTGTGAAGTAACATACCGGGCTTTGGTTTGGCTCCGAGTTTGCGGTCTAGCTCTGTGTTCATGGCGTGTGTCCCACACAAAGCAAACGGACACACAGCAGCTCCGATTACACTTTGCTCGCACAAGCACGAAGCCAAAGACCCCAGCCTGAAGATGACGAGTGGGACCTCGTCGAAATGTTGCCAAGATACTCTCAATCTTACATGGGAAAAGACCCGAATACACCAATACCTGCATACCTATACCCATGAAAATCTATGAAAACACATATACATACATACATATATATACACACACACACACACACACACACACACACATCAATATAAAGATCCAGAAACAACAGATTTACAGCAATGCTGAACAAGCCCAGCTTTTACACATAGACCCAATAAGAAGGAAGCATCCTATTAGCACAGATTGGCTAGCATTAGGAAAAACATCCACTACCACCAATTCAAGAGCCAACTGACCTTTTTGTAGATGGCAGCCATAAGGGAAGTGCGTAAATTCATTCCAACTTCAAAACACAGCTGGAAATACTGCTGTAGGCAGAAAGACTGCACCAATGCAGTCACAAAGAGCAGCAGTGCAAACAAATACCCCTGCCAAGGGTAGGCTTTTGGATCAGATACAAAGTTGATCATCATCCTACAAGAAAAGAAAACCTGTACATCACCCCGAATGCCCTATAGACTTCCAGAGACCCTATACCAAGAACACTTCCTGCTGACTCTATACCAGTTTTGTCCTTCATGGGGTCATTTTTTCTTTTTCCGAGATTTAAAGAGGTGGGTTGTTTCTTTGTTTTCTAAACCATGTTAATCCTATTCCAGGGCTTACATTATAGTTTCTTTATGTTTCGTGACTCACAATGGTGAGAAATGAGGCCCCTACAGACTGAAACACCACTATTCAGGAATACAAAGATGTTTCAAGGGACAGAAGGTCAGTGGGTGGGTGAGTCACACTGGCAGGGGTCAGAAGGAGCCCTATGGCCTTGGGTTGCTTACCTGTAACATATCCTACAAATACTTAAGTGGGATTGAAGCTGCATTATTAAACCAGGACAAACTTGTTTTCAGGCCCTAGTCACAGATATGAGACATGCTGTGATAAAGTCACTTATAAAACTATCCTAGAACAATTTTAAAGCAGAAATCTGGAATGAGATATTTGTTTTTCAGGCTTACTTTAAAGTCTATAACTGGCATTGGCAACTTTTAAATCATTGAAAGCTGCAGTTAATTGGGGGGCTAAAGACTGTAAAATGGATGAAAGCCACAACATATATTGCGAAGGGCTAACTACTGGATCAAGTTTTGTTTTATCTCCTTTTTATACCTATAGTACATCTATTTCAGGGGTTACTCCATAGTTTTCATGTGTTTTCTACCTCAAGGGAGGGGAAATTGCGCTATTAAGTTTTTAGCAATCATAGCAAAGGGGGGTCTGAGGCTACTGAAAAATAGACTTAAGGGCTACAGGTTGCCCCCTCCTTTCCACTGACTCCCAGAACAATTTAAGATATGATGCATACTTGACAGTTCATATATCCTAGGCAGAAAGAGAACACAAGATCTCAATTTGGTAGCTTGAGATAGTATTAGAAAGAGCTAGACAGCATAAGACAGCAAAATACAGAGAGCAAAATATTGGAAAAAGCAGAAGAGACATCACAGAATAACACTGAGTCTCTGTCTAGTGACTTTGACAACAGAAATAAAACAGCAACATGAATGAAGGCAAATTTACGTGTCCCAGGATAATATGGCAGGATCCTATCTGCGTCAATCACCAGGACCACAGGTTTAGTCTTTCAAGATTTCAGACTGAATATGTAATCACACAATTTGTTGAGAGAGACATTCCCTGAGGATGGGCTTCAGCACAAATCCAAAAGTTTGGAAGATTAAACCTCTGGTCTCAGTGACTGACCCAGATAAGATCCTGCAAAACAGCAAAGCATAAAGATTTGTCTCAAAATTATGGAAATATTTAAGACATTTTTATTTTCTAATTTTTATCTAGAATTTTGAGCAGTATTTGACACAATCTTACACCAAAACTTTATTAACTGCCATTCCAGTGGGGTTTTTGTTTTGTTTTTTTGTCATCTGTTCCTCCAAGCAGTGTTTCCCAAACTTGACAATTTTAAGGCATGAGGACTTCAACTCCCAGAATTCCACAGCCAGCATTGCTGGCTGTGGAATTCTGGGAGTTGAAGTCCTCATGCCTTAAAATTGTCAAGTTTGGGAAACACTGCTCCATGGGATCAGTGAGGCTTAAAATAAAACCTGAAATAAGGACTTACTTCAGCAGTTGTGGATTCACAAACACCAGAAAATCATGTACCACCTTCAGTGCCACAGATTTCAGAAGCTTTCCAGCACAGGTTTGAAACAAAGCAACAATTAACCAGTGTTTAGCATAGTAATCTTTGGATTGTTCTCCAGCAATCACCACTTTCTTGGGCTTTTTCTCCTTCTCTTCCTAAGTTCAAAGCAAAATTTGGTATCAAGCATCTGCTTATTTCAGTCCTCCAACCAGACCACCTACGCAGAACCAATCTTATTGTCACCAGGCTCTCTAAAACTGAGATACAGCAGATAGTGGAAAAATTCATGTGCTAAATTTCTCCCATTTCCACCATTGCTGTTTTTCAGAAATAAAATGTAAGACTTCCCACAAAGTAGTAATATTTACCAGGACTAATGCATCTTGACTCTGGGCCTTGCTCAAGCCATTTGTCAGGTCAGTGGCTGTTAAATGCTGTTTCCTCTTCCGATGCCAAATCTCTAGTTTTCGTTGAGCCTTTCTGACCCCAACCTTCATACTCTTCTCAAATGTGCAAAAAACCTGTTGTGTCTTCTCCGAATCCCTCAAATCCCAGAGGTCATCAATCTCTAGTGGTTTCCGATATCCCTTTACCACCATACTGAAAGGTATAGCAAATTCTATCAGAGTGTGAAATCCAGACATCCTGCTTACTCTGTACAGCTTTAACAATGAAATGTGAGGCACAAGGGATGTCAATCCTGAGCAATAATAAGAGTCTACCCTATTTCCATTTTGTTCAAGTTCTGTATCCACATCTCCACCATGACCATACAACTGCTAAGAGTTTGAGAAATGTTGTATTGTTCTTTGCTCTTCACTGTAATCACTATATAGCCAATCCATGGCAGCATCCATATTCACCCCCTTGTCCCTGCATCCACGGGTAACACTGTAATGACATGAACTGCCCAGCATCTCAGATTAAAACATACATGCTAATGCCTATTGTTGACACTCCCTTGTCTTTTTCCAAGTAGAACTGCGTACCTGTTATACCAATGGAAAGTGATGGAACTCAGGAAAGAGGCTGTGATCTCGGGGTTCTGTGAAATAAGGGAGGCAGAACTTACAAAGTTAAACATTTAGGGACCAAAGTGATGATGCAGTCTGATCTTCCAAACAAGGATTTCAGTCCCTCCCACCCTACAATGCATGAAGTGGGTGCTATGGCAAACTGCATTTAAGGCTCCAGTAGAACTGGTAGGTGGAAAGATCTCTATCCTACTGGAAAACTGTCTGAAAGCAGGTATCCTCCCTAGAAGGCCCATGACTATTCTCTACGTTGACAATTACTCTGCAAATTGAAACATTTGACTAATGACTCTCACTTTCTTTGCAGCTTCCTTCATTTCAGGAGCAACATCAGAAATAACTGAAATAGACAATAAGAGTAGTTGAAGTCCATAGGACCCAAGGAAGAAGCTGAAACGTGGTACATCTGTAATGGCACCCTGCAAGAAAGGAAAGCATATGGTAATTATGAGTGGAAGGGCCAAAAAATAAAATTGCCTTAATCTTCCCGGGCAACTAGAGCAGGGCTTTTCAACCTTTTTTATTTATTTATTTATTTATTATTAAAAGTTTTATGAATTACAATATAAACCCACCCATCCCCTCCCCCCCTCCCCCACTTCCCAGAACTGATTACAGGGTAACAAATAAACAAACATAGTCTAGCTAACATAAACCAACTAAACTATCAATCAAAACCATAATACACTTTAACTCCTTCTCAAAACAAATATTAACAAATTAAGACAAAAATAATACCATTAATACTATTAATAATTATCTAAAATCTATTCAAAAGCAAGATAATACTTTTCAGTTTCATACTTCTTCTGAATATAATCAATCCATCTTCTCCAAACCATAATATATCTTTCTTGTGAATGATCCTTCAAATAGGCGGAGATTTTCACCATTTCTGCTAAATTAGACACTTTAAGTATCCATTCTTCCAAAGCAGGCAATAAGTTTTTCTTCCAATATTGCCCCACCAATAATCTTGCAGCAGTTATGAAGTTCAACATCAAATTAGTTTCTTTAACATCCAAATCTACAATAATACCCAACAAAAATAATTGCGGAGTAAACTTTATCTTTTTCTTAAAAATCTTTTGAATATTCCACCAAATCTTAATCCAAAAAGCTTTAATATCTTTACAAGTCCACCAAATATGAAAATAAGTTGCATCTAAATTTCCACATCTCCAACATTTGGGCTGTAATTTCGGATACATGCGGGACAACCTTTGGGGATCCAAATGCCATCTATAAAACATTTTATAAACATTTTCTCTTAAATTTTGTGCTTGAGTAAATTTTACATTTCTAACCCAAATTGTCTCCCATGTATCCAGTAAAATTGGCTCTTGGATATTTTGTGCCCATTTAATCATACAATCTTTAACTAACTCCGTTGGCTTTTCAACCTTTTTACCGACTGTACCACTTTTAGGATATGGCAATATTCGAGTACCACCTAGCAAGGTGTCAAAAACTTGATGACCAAAAAAAAAACCCGTTCAAAGTTGCAATTGCACTGAAATGACTTATGACCATTTTTCACACTTATGACCATTGCAGCATGCCCAGGGTCATGTGATTTATATTTGGATGCTTGGCAACTGATTCATATTTATAATGGTCACAGTGTTCCAGGGTCATGTGATCCCCTTCTGCAACCTTTTGACAAGCAAAGTCAATGGCAGGGCTGCTGGTGGCCAAGTGCTAAGGCGGGACTTCCTTTCCTCCCTCCCTTCCCTGCCTCCCTTTTTCTCATTCCCAGCTTCTGAAGGAAGAATTTGAACCCCCCCCCCATATTTTCCCTCTTCCATATATTGATCAAACAAGGAAAGGCCTCCAGAGACAGAAAAGACAAGCTGCTGAATGAACTAGCTTAAAAAGACACATTCCCCTTTAAGAATTAGCTACTGGCTAGAAAGGAAAGTAAGGAGCGCAGCTGGCACTTAAGAAAAAAATATGTAAGTACTGGCTGCCGGCTAAGGCAACCTCCCCAAATGGCTCCATTCATAAGTAAAGGAATGCTACAGGCAAAATCTATTCAGGAGAAAAATACTTCAAAATCCCTTGCAGCAAAACAGCAAACAACAGCAGAGCAATAGAAGCTAACGTGAGACATCAGCCATCAGCCAAATAGAAATTGCCAAACACTCCTTAAGAACACAAAGCCCTCATTGCACAAATCCCAGAACTTCAAAGTCACAACAGCACGTAAGAATCCTTCCACTCTCCATCTCCTTCCCTCCTCCGTGCCTCACCTCCAGCCATTGCTGCCTTTTTTCATTCCTATTCGAGGGCGACCTCTCCCCCACTGCATTTCTTGCCTGTTTGCTGCTGCCAGCACAAGTGGCTGCCACAGCAGTTGTAGATCGGCTCATGGCCAGCCTGCTTAATCTCCTCTCCCCCCACCCTCCCCCTCCTTCTCTTTCTTCCCCTTGGTGCAGCTGACTCTGCCTCCTTCCAAGGCTGCTGCTTTTTCTCTCTCTCCCTCTCCTGCCCAAACTGCCTCCTTTTATAGGCTCTCCTGTCTCTGCCCTCCTCCTCCTTTCTCATGGGGGAGGGTGAGCCAGAAGTGAGCCTGGGGCCTTTGCAGCTCCAGGGGATTCTCTCACTGCAAGTCCTTGCCTGTGCTGGCTCTTTCCCTCTCCCACTACACTTGGCTAGGCAGGGCTGTGTACCACCTGCCACTCATTAATGTACCACAAGTGGTACGCGTACCGCCGGTTGAAAAGCCCTGAACTAGAGAACCTGGAAGAACCCTCCCATGTGTGGTTTCTTTCCCCACAGATTATATTCCCCCAATCTCTACCCCTGCAGCATTATGTGGGATAAGCTACAATTGATAGATGGCTAGCTAAACTGAATGTAGTATTTTTATTTATTTGCAGTGGAAACATGGCTAAAGGAAAAACTACTACCAAGAGGCTTTATTACTTCATTTCTCTTTCTCTCTGCTTAGCTTCTCACCTGCACTGCTTGCCGGATAAGTGTCTGGAGCTGAAATATACCATTGATTAAAGAGAAGTTGAGGAAAAGGAAAAGAATCCCCGAATCTCTGCACACAGTGAAACGACAGCTATCATGGATCAGCAAAACAAGTATCTGTAGTGTAGAGAAAAGCAGAGAGGTTATAAGTCTAAATTGGCTTAAGTCCTTCAGAAGAAAATAGTGCCCCATAAAATTGTTCTATCAAGGGGACATGGTACTTTTTCATGTAGAGCAGTTTGAAGATTAACTTTCTTAGGTAACAAAACATACTCCATTGAGACAAGGTCAGCCGTACAATGCCTGGTTACTTGCATTTAATAGAAATTGCAGAGGGGATGAAGCAAAGGACAAGTTGATGAAGTTAATGATGGGAAAAAATATTTATTTTAAATATATTCAGGGCAAACCCCAAAGTTGTCATTTGATCTACTGATGAAAATATACTGCTCACAAAAATAAAGGGAACACAAACGTTTAGGATCCTATATGTTTGTATTCCCTTTATTTTTTTGAGCAGTATATAACAGAATAACAGTTGGGAGGGAAATTGGAGATCTTCTAATCCAAACCCCCTACTCAAGTAGGAGACCTGGCTTATACCGTTTCAGACAAGTGGTTGTTTAACCTCTTTTTTAAAACCTCCAGTGATGGAGCACCCACAACTTCTGAAGGCAAGCCATTCCAGTGATTAATAGTTTTAACTGTCCAGAAATTTCTCCTTATTTCTAGGTTGGTTCTCGCCTTGATTAATTTCCATCCATTGCTATATGAAAGAAGCATCTTCAATGAAACCTGATATATCTGTTCTAAATCAGAATTTCTTTTTGTTAAACAACATAAAAGAAAATGACCAGACCCAGAAAACCGATTGAGAATCTTACATGCAATACTTGGGGGAAAAGTCTTTGAATGTCCTCCCCTGCCTCTCTAATGCAGTCCCATCTAACCTCACGCCATTAAATGTGCTGAATCAACAATTCCATCACAAGCGGCCACACTGGGGAACATTGGCCTAAAGAAAATCCACTCTCTAAGCTTTTAATGAGTACTAGTCTAAACAATGGGAATAGATTGGTGCTGAATTTATGTTTGGAGTCAGCAATTTGGAGAGAAAACTAAATAAAGAATGCTTTTGACTTGATACAGAGTAAAAGTATGGCAAGAAGTGACTCTCACCCAAGTGACGGAATAGAGTACAGGATTTGTATACTGGACAGCAGGTCTTCCATTACTAAAGATGGGGTACTGTAGGTTCCCTGAGTCTTCAACAATGGTAAAAACCACTTCAGTTAATGCCATCAGTAAGAGCAGTGAAGTCAGCACCTGATTAGAAGAAGAGAGAGTGATAGAAATTACTAATCATTGCTGCCCATTAGGTTTCAAAGGAACAAATGTTCAAAAAGTTTACAAAGCATCAAGGAGAAGAAACCACAATATAAAGGAAAAGTGAAAGACTGCAATGTATTGAGTTTGATCCTTGCTAAGGCAATGTTCCAGCAGCTGACAACAAAACAGTAGTGGTTTGCAACTGTATTTTTGGAGATATTTTTTTTTAAATAAAAAAACCTCCTAGTCTAATCTACAGTCCTAAGAATTCATAGAGGGCTAAGAAATCCAATACTAACTAGGTCCAACCCTGCATAGGTTTTCTGAGATAAGCCAGAAATCTGCTAAATGGAACCAAAGCTGGTACAACCCAAAAAGTATTTTATGACCCAATGGTTTTTCAAGCAGTACCTCAATGTGTCTTGACCACTGGAGAATTAAGTAGCATATCTATATAACACATTCTGTAATTGCTCCCACAAAAACTCCAACATGGCTTTAGATGCATTAGAGTAAGTTCACTAACATCCTCAAGAGACTTATCTATTAAATATATAGAGATGCTGGTCAACAACTACCCAACATGAGACCTGGTTGGAGAAAACTAACACAATCTATACATCAAACTAAGCTACAATGTGATTTTATCTGGTTGTGCCTTAATATTGCATGAAACCAGCCAATTAGGTTTTAGTCAACCAGTCAGTCTGTTTTGTTTCAACTGTAAATTATAACTAACAATACAATGCCTAGGTAAGGTGGTAGTCAAACATAATTAAAATAAAACTTCTGAGCAGCAATATATTAAACCATAAAAACCCAACATAAAATAAAGCAAAATTGGGATCTACTTGTTCTGTACAAAAACACATCCACCCAGAGGCTTAACCTATCTTAACCCAAGGTCTGGGAGAACATCTAGGTCTTCAAGGCTTTATGGAATGCCAACAGAGTAGGAATCATACAAATCTCATATCAGAGAGCAGGTACTAACACAAGAGAGAAGATATACTTGTTGCATTCCAATAGATAGCAATGTCTGGTACAGAAGAATATGAATTGCACTAATTCTGCTGGTATATGCCAGCCAGGCAAAAACTATGAGGGAAAGGCAGTCCTCAAATAACCTGACCCTATGCCATCTAAGGCTTTATAGGGTATGACTAGAATCTTGAATCACACCTAAAAGCATAGTGGCAACCAGTACAGCTTGTGAAATAGAGGTGTCACACCACTGCCCTCACTGCTGCTTTATGGACCAATAGAAGCTTCTGAGTGATTTTCAAGGGAAGCTCCATAGAAAAACATTGCAGTAGTGAAGTGACTAGAGTGTAAGTGACTGTGTGAAGGGTCTCCCATCAGGGAAGGAGTCTACCTGGCACACCAGATGTGGCAATATAGAAACAGACAGAACAGAAACATTCTGTTTACTTAGAGGTTCAAGTTGTCAACTTCCATAATATTGTCTCCTTAGCTAAAGTAATCTATCTATATAAACTATTAAAACAGTCATGTCTGTCTGGGTGTAAACCTTAACTGGTGAAATGGTGCCCCATAGGGCAAACAAGGTACCTCAAATGTGCTAATTTACAGAATTCAAATGACTCCCATGGAATTGAAATTTTGCAATTATACAAAATGTCATCGAACATTTCTTGTAGTTAGTTCCTGGTGTTTGACTATGCTATACATTTTGATATGAGCTATTTTCAAAGCAGATACATCTCTGAATATCTCTCTGAATTTTTAAGAACTTTTTCTGTGAAGGCATTACATTAAAAGCTCTGAAACAGTTGAAGGCATTGAGAAATCTGGTAAGGAAGTTATCTCTGAAATGATGAGTCGTTTAGTTAAATATTAAATTTTATGGGAATCAGGCTAAAAGATTTCCTCTTTAAAACAAGGTCCAAAAATTTTAGCAAACAACAAATATAATAATGTGGGAAGTTAGTTGAATTCATACTTAGCTTTTTAAGACCAGGATTTGAGATGCTTTACTCAAAGAAATCTTTCTAAAGCCACACAAAATAACATTGCCCCTTGAAATGCAATTAATAAAGCTGAAGTTGAATATGAGTTTAACACAGCCAGTTCTTACAAAGGTGGTTCCTTGGCTTCAGTTTTAAGAAATGTCATTGGTTATTAGGAATAGCAACTTTTAAAAAAACCATGTAACTTTTGCTTTGGGGTATTTTCTTGCAATTAGGTTTTATTTCATCAGACATAGCTAAGCAATCAACTGCTCCATGAACTATGTAAATAAGCGTTCACAAAAAAACCACTCAAAAATATGTAACTACAGCTCTGTTCCATAACAATCAAGATTGTTACAAAAGTAAATTAAGTTAATCCATAGAACAAGACATTTCAACAGTGCATACATTGTAGTAACATTTTTGGGAAAAATGAACACTTAACATTAATTAGCAAATTAAAGAATGCTGATTCAAGAACAATTCTAGATATATCATATCTGGATATTTTTTATTTTTCTTTCTCTCTTTTTAGCTACATTTAAGTGTATATTTCACATACACCCATACACATATAGTACATCAATTAACTATATAGAACATGGGCACGTTTTAAAACAAGAACAATAATTTCATACTATATAGGAACACAACATAAGGGGAGATATAACATTTTAAGTGATCATCTGGAATTTTCTCACATCTCTAACACCTTATCTATTTCAAGAGAATGAGGGTATCCTTTGAGTTGAATATCCTTCTACCGTTTGACAACCCTGAGAAAGAACTTTTTCTCCCACCTGCTTCATGACATACAGCCTGGTGACTGATGATTTCTTCAGCTTAGATTTGCACATGGGAAGAAGCTTCCATGGGCCAAAGAGCCAAAGGAAGCCCAGAGGGATCCAGACAAGAATTGTCTGTTCAAAACAAAGTGGCAGATCGGCATCATTGTGGTCCAGGAAAGAGGAATTCTGGGAGTAACAAGAAAGAAACAAAAGCAATTTATGCGGAAGGCTCACTTTGAAAAGGATTGTTAATATCTAAAGTCTGTCTCTTACACTTCTTCCCAAGATTCCATTGTGTCTTTGCTCTGCCTATAAATACAGCAATTACTGCAGTTTAAATGTTGCTAAACATATAAGCCAATAGCAATATGATATATCTCAAGGATTTATGTAGCAAAACACTATTTGCATTAATATCCATTTCTTACATCTTTTCATTATTTTTCATCCATTCACATCCTCTTTCATTCAACCTATATATACAACAGTGTGATTGAATTGTAATTAAGTTCATTTTAGAAGGTAAGACTGGAAAACGCTTTTTAAAGGATTTGCATTTTTCTACACATAGATGCTTAACACCACTATTGATACTGGATTGTATTTATTCGCCAAGTAGCAGCTAATAGCAGTTCTCAGTCTTATTTATCAATTACACATTACACAATTATTATTTGCTGTAGTAATTTGCACTAAATGACAATATTTAAATATCATTAAAATTACTGAAAAACATTTGTGAAGTCCCACTGATTTTAACTGAGCCTAAATTCAGTAACTTTAGATTGGACCCAATCCATTATGCTTAACTCCTACTCAAAGGAGCAGAGCTGCTGTCAGAAATCATGTTGTGGAATTATTTTGGTGCTTTACACTATGGTGTAGGATGTGTGTCCCAAGTTGACCAGTTGTTGCTATCATACATATGCTTTGCCTTTCTGTATAAACAGCCAATGCAGCTTAAAATAATAACATATGTGCCTGCTGTAATAATTTATGGACTATAGTAATATGAGTGGCTTGTGATCATCACTAGGAATAATCATATGTGAATTACAGCATTTTTCCAAGGGCTACTAGGCAAGTCTGCTATTTTTATGGCATTTTTTTAAAAAAGTTCAGTCTCTCGCCTCACCCACCAAAAACTGTTACTTTGCTCACAATATGTAATGCCCCCACCCACCATTGGATCAGGAAGATTATGATCCATCCAATATGATTGTTAGTTGGATTGCCTTGTTAGAAGGTTTATCTTCCTTTTTATTATAAGTTATATCTTATGGCAGTTTATTTTTGTTACATCTGTTCTTTAATTTATTAAATAAATTATATTTGAGTACCAGATCACCTTGATAATCTAAACCAGGGGTTCCCAACCAGGGGTATGGGATGATATTCCACGGGGTGTGAGAACTTGGGTTTTCAAAATTATAGTGTATATGCATAATTTGTTGCCGTTATTTTGAGCTTTTGTAAGGAGTGCAAGAATATATCAGAAGCGTTCTAGGGGTGCAGGGTATAGAAAACGTTAGGAACCGCTGATCTAAACCATAAGATGAAAACAAACAAACAAAAAGCCAAGTGTTAGACTTTTCTCTCTGAGTGTTAAGATAGGGTGAGATTAGCATGGTGATGAACATATGATGGGCTGAATGGGAAAGTTTAGCTGTGGTGCCAGGTCTTTTTTGTTGTTGTTGTTTTAATTTTATGATTGATGTATATTGTTTTTATTCAGGGTTGTAAACTGCCAGGAATTTGTTTTAACCTGGGTAGCAATATAAATGAGAAAGAAAGAAAGAAAGAAAGAAAGAAAGAAAGAAAGAAAGAAAGAAGGAAGGAAGGAAGGAAGGAAGGAAGGAAGGAAGGAAGGAAGGAAGGAAGGAAGGAAGGAAGGAAGGAAGGAAGGAAGGAAGGAAGGAAATTATCAAGTTCCCAGTTTATTTTGGAGGTATCTTTTATTTTGAATATGTTTTATATTTTGATTATTTTTAAGGAACATTGTACTTAGATAAAAATTATCCTCCTTAAAATAAACAAAATATAAAACAAAGTATTTCCAGAGTCACCATCCTATAAACTCTAGTAGATCTTTTCCCTTAGATATGATTTAGAAATGGTTGTGATAGTCTTCCCCAATTCATCATATGGAGGACTATCACTGCTTTTGGATTGCTGCTGGCTACAGTAAATGTTGCTATCTTCTGCCCATCGTGCCTTTTAAGAAAAAAAAATTGTCCTCCAATATTTCTCTAGGCAAGAGTGAAAACCTTGAGATGCACAGATAAAGATCTCATATAACAGCATTTGCATTGCTTCCAGTTGGAACAAGAGGCCAAGATATCCCAAGACAAATAGACTCACCAAGATATTAACAAATAGGAACCACCAGTACACATTACAACATAGAATTGGAAAGCATAGCCAAGAGTTTCAAGATTCAGCAGAAGAAAAAACTGTAAATGTTTATGACACAGGAAGATTGAACATCCATAATACAGCATCTTCACACCATTATTGTCACCACTTTCCAGCTTCTCAAAAAGAGTTTGAAAATTATTTGAGATTGTTCATCTTCAATTTTGATTAACTCAGATATGCTGAGAATAAGAATTAAAAATAACAGCTCTGCATAAGCTGCTGCATGCAAATCTGCAGCAACAGAAGCCTAACCGTGAAACGGACAAAATCTTGTAGCTTCCTTGTCTAAGATGAAGGTAAGGGGTTGGGGCAAAGTTGTAAAAGTTATCAGATCAGCATTGTTCTTAGAGCTCCTTTCAGGATCCAGTTCAGGTTATCAGACGAGCAAACAAAAGTCCATTCTTCTTCATTACGGTTGATCATAATTTGGCTCTACTGATTAGGCCAGATTCGAATCAACGGTGCAAACACCTTGAATCGAAATGTCCATGACTGATGGACATTTTGACATACACTACAGTGACCATTTTAAGTTACAACAGCACAGGAAAAAGTGACTTATGACTGTTTTTCACACTTACGACCATTGCAACATCCCCATGGTCAAAATTCAGATGCTTGACAACTAAGATGTATTTATGGTGGTTGCAGTGTCCGGGGATCATGTAATCACCTTTTGTGACCTTCTGACAAACAAGGTGAAGCCAGGTTCACTTAATGTGTCACTAACTTAACTACTGCAGTGATTCACTTAATCACTCAGGCATGAAAGGTTTTAAAATGGGGGGAAACTCACTTAACAACTGTCTTCCTTAGCAATGAAATTTTTGGGCTCAATTGTGGTTGTAAATCAAGGACTTTAAATGCCGGCGTACAAGGCGACCCGGCATATAAGACGACCCCCGTCTTTATAGCTGGGCTGCATTCCTAGAACGTCGTCTTATACGCCGGAAACTACCAGTATTTCCGGCGTATAAGACGACTCGGCGTATAAGACGACCCCCGTCTTTGGCGCCGATTTCAGCACTCGTGGAAGTCGTCTTATACGCCGGCATTTATGGTAACTGTATACCTAGCTCTGTCTTAAAAAATACTGGGGCAGTTTTATGCCACTCCCAGTGCAGTAAATCTGAAAAGATTTTTTGTTACTTAGTCTGGGCTTGTAAAATTGAACTATAAATCAGGGCGATTACAAAATACAGAAGAGGTGTTCTCTTCCCAAAATTCACGAGACAATCAGAATTATTCATTCATTTATGTATACTATTAAGCAAAACTTGCTTTTCTGACATGCTTTCTTTACAAGAGTGGGTTGTTGGTTTTTTTGGTGGAATCAGTCAACCATCCAATCTGTATTACTGCTCACACTGATCATCCATTTTTTCTTCTTTGCGAAATAAAAAAGAATTTTAATTTTAATAAAAGTCTAAAGAATTTCTCTTCTTTAGAATGAACGTATTTATAAATGATTGTTACAATGTGCATTGAAAACAATGTAAACATTTTCCTGTAACTAAGTTCTGAAGCTCCCACCAATAAGACACTGTAAATTAACACCAGTAAGGTCAATGCTTCAAAATGGAAATACAGTGAGTTTGTTAATGCCTCATTTGCAATCTTATGTACACATGAGTAACTATCCCAAAACACAAATTAAATTGCTTTGCCGTTATCAAATGTCTTCTTAGAATTCATGAAAATTACATTCAGCATAATCCTGACTAACAGATGAGCAAATAACTCTGAGAGAAGTTGCCACTTACCCAGAAAACAGAGCCACAATAATGTTCTAAAGCTTCTGCTGCCATGGCCAATGTTCTCTCCTCCAGCTGCTGCCAAACTATTCTGTCTAACTCAGGGAGCCAGGGCAAAAGTCCCAAATGTTCAGCAAAGCAGTATTAGAAACCTGATAAAATGCCATTAATCTTTAACCCTATAATCAAACTCAGGAACTATGGAAAAGAGCTGGCTGGCTTTTTCCTAAGACCTGGGAGATACAAATTAATGGTTTTGGCATTAATTTTTCTTGGCACCTTAGCACTACACTAAACTCACTCTTTCTCTACTTATTCTCTTCCTCAATTTATTTCTAGCCAACAATGGTGACACCAATTTCAAATAACTTCAGAAAGCATTGAAAAAAACTAAACATAGTGAAAAGGTTTTTCTTTCATATAAAATAACTAAACCCAGAGCAAATGATGATTCAATTCTAAGGAAAGTGTTAGGTGCCCACAGGGTGGGGAATTTATATCCCTTGGTTAATTAGTTAAATAAATATCAACGTATTTTTGAAAAATGTCTACACTACCGACTGGCATTTGGTTTGAGGGTGAGATATAATCAATAACTGGCTGTCCTGTGGCATGTTATAATTCTTCTGAAAATTTTCTAAGAATGCAAAGCCATTGTTCTTTTCCCCATGTTCCTCTATGTTTGAAGGGAAGGGAAAGAGTTAATTTTATGCAGCAAACAGTCTATCATCATCTTTTTACAGTGTGGTGACTTGCACAATATAACATTTGGCTCAAAGTCTCCTGAACTCTTGCAACCTTAGTTAAATGAAAACGCAATTATTTTTTGAACTTTTCTGACTTTGTTTTGCTCCACGTATTCGTCTTGCACAACATTACTTCCACATACTATTTGTATGATGTGTTTTATACATTACGCTATGACATTAGTATTTGGGCATCTGCCCAAGCTGACGCTTCATTTCTAAACCCAACTGATCAAATTATATTAATGGGATGTGCATACGAAGCCAGTGGACTAACATCAATAAATCTTCAAAATAAAAAAAAAATATGTCTTGTCCTATTTAAAAGTTCAACAGGACTTGAGACCAGGTTATTTGACAGGACCATCTCCTATATGACCAACCTGATACAATCATTGTATCAAACCCTCTTTCAGTTTCCCTAGCTAAATGAGTCAAACCTAGTGGCAACAGGAAAGTGATAAGTGCTCAATGATAAGTCCTCACTTATGGAATGTTCCTCCTGGAGTTCCTTGCTTGGCATACGTTGTGATCTTTACAGAAGCAAGAAAAGCTATTTTTGTTCTCTTGGACATTTCGTTTTTTTAGTTCACGAACCACTTCGATTAACTTTAATTTTTTAAAATATTTTTATACTATGTAGATAATTCAGACAACTCTTGAATTATGACTATTAGTTCAGAGAATGTCCAACATTGTGAGTATTGTACTGAACAAAGAGACTTACAACTTGAAGTTCTGGCCGTTGCAGCTCCCCATGATCACATGAACAAAATTTGGATGCTTGGAAACCAGTTTGCACTTACGGCCACTTACGAAGATCTTATTGTAGACCTTCTCAGCCAACAAGCAGGTCAATGGGGAAGCCAGCAGAGAAGGACCCAAGCCGCTTGGGTAATTCTCCCCCTCACCCAGCCTTTCTTCACTCAATGCAGTGCAATCTTCTTCCCCCTTTTCTTTCTCTCATTCCAATGCCCTTGTTCCCCAGCTCCCTGCACTCAAACACACATATGAACTCACCAATGCCCTTTGTCCTCAGTCTCCCTGCACTCACACAGGCACGCACTCACCAGCACCCTCATTTCCTGGCTTTCTTGTATTCACACAGACACACAAACATAACCATTGCTCCCCTTCCCTAGGCCTCTCTACACTTGCACACATGCATACCTGCACTCCACGTCCTCTTTCCCCAGCCTCCCTGAGCTCACACTGCACTGCAGCAGCCCTCCCCCAACTTGCCTACAGGCTACCCAGGCCTCCCAGGGGCTTCCCCCCACCCCACCCAAGGTATCCTTATGCTCCTTATCTTGGACTCCCTCCACTTTCCACTTAATGGTCTGCATGTTTTGGGGTTATGACAACTAGGCCTGTCTGGGTTGCTATTGCAAAGCGATGTGGTCACAAGACATCACACTTTATGAATGCATCACTTAGTGACAGCAATCCCAGTCCCAATTACCATCATAACTCAGGGACTACTTGTAAAGCTATTGGAAGGTTTACCCTGGTAACTAACAATTCAAGGAAAAATGGAGGCAAACTTTATATATAAAAAAAAGTTTGCACTCTTCCCAGGATCATGTCTGAATAGAGATACTGACTCCTACTAATTTCTTCATCATTTGTAACAGATGAAATAAATGTGCCTATGAGTTTGGATATGGCAAAGGTTACACTGCTAGCTCTTGCCTTACTGATCTTTTGCTATACTTCCCAAAGGATGGGACATAGTTAAAACACCTATCAACCTTTTCTTTCTTGTCCTATGTGAAAGGATCCAGTTTGTGGAAACATCTAAGCCAGGGGTCCCCAACCTCCAGTCTGTGGACCCCATGCAAGCAACCGGGCCACACAAACAAACAGATGCAGGTAACACACAAAACCACACCCCCTCTGGTCCATGGAAAAACTTCTCTCCACATAACCGGTCCCTGATGCCCAAAAGGTTGGGGACCTCTGATCTAAGCCCTTTAAATTGTCACAACCTAGAATCAGTTACAAGGCATTGCACTTTTTTCCAAACTGTTCTTGCTCCTTTAGCCATCCATTCTCTAAATGAAAAGAATTACCTCTCATCTGCTGCTAAATTCCATTTCAGTCTTGTATTCTACAGAAACAGAGATCTGAATTTTCATCAAAGTGAACTAAGAAGGGAAGCATAAGATACTCACCTCTCTTGCCTGCCTGGAATAAACACCAAAGTCCCTACCCAGGCTGGACAAAACACATGGCATGAAAGGCTACAGTGATGAAAATCAGCTTCAGCATTTATTTGAAAAGTAGAAGTCTAAAGGAGTTTCACCTAGTGATGAATGCCTCTTTAGCTAGTGTTATGCCTCCCTAGAGTTTGCTCCTCAGACAAATGATGTCACACTACTTAATGAAAAGACTCCTTGAATGAAGACTAGGAAATGGGAAGAGGAGAAAAACACACACCAGCATCTTCCTTGGACTGATCCAAACACTACTGAAATGTCTATAGTTAAGGAATGGGGAAGTCAGAGGATAGTAGGTCATCCTGTCCCGTAGCCTCTTCTTATTCTACAGGATGTTCTTTGCAATGGCATTCAGGGTCCTCACTTTAGTCACATCTGCCACCATGCTAGAATGCTCAGGTGTGGAGAGGGAGGTTCCCATCTTAACACTGGAGTTCCTAAAAGAAAAGCAACAAGTCATTAAATGCTATCTAAAAAGTGTACAAGTAGTCCTTGGGATACAGTTATTTAACAGCTGTTTGAAGTTACAATATCCACTCCAAAGCTACATATGACCCCCTTTTGCCCTTTCAACTGATCACAGGTTGTGTATTATCTGTAATTCAGTACTAATTTAATGTAAGCGTCCCCCAGCCTCGCTTTCTCTCCCCATCCCACCCCACTGGAACCCTGTAGCACTTGGGCCCGTTCCCCACTTGGGGCAGAACAAGATGGAGGTTGTAGGACAAACCACTCTGTTTGGCTGCCTTAATAATCCCTGAGGCACCCTGTGCTCTATTTAATGACCTGCATGTTCATTTAACAACTGCCCTGGGGGAGCAGGTTTGGGGTTTAACTGAGATCCTCAATTGCAATCACAACGTATGACCATAAGGGGGAGATCTTCATTATGGTCGTATCCCAGGGACCACCTGAATCCAGAAAAAAATCAGAAAAAGAACCACTTCCAACCTATTTTTACTTGATCAATATACATGTAACATATATTTCTGGAATAGATAATAAGTTTTTCTAAATGTTTATTGATTAATGAAATTCATATGTAGCAATATATATGAAAATTAGTTTTAGAAATGTATTAATGAGATTATAACATATCTTAAATAAATGGAGAGTTCCAGTTTAAGTTTAAATATGTGAGAAATTATAGATTTGGATAGAATAGACACTGAGCGGTTGAAAGTTTTGATTAAGAGAATTTATATTTAGATATATTAATGAATGATTTTATTTGAATTAATTTGATTATAATATTATATATAGATAGAGAGGGAAACTTTAAGAAATATTGTGTGAATTTATAATGCTATTGTTTTCTTTCTGTAATTGATCATCATATCTCCACGTTGGCTCTTAAGCTTCTTTTGGTGCAAAATGGAAAACTAATAAAAATTGTTTAATATATATATATATACGTGTAACAGAACATCACCTGTTGCCACTTTACTGAAATACTGAAATACCAATGACTGCTTCAGTAGACACTTCCTTGTTACAGTTAAGAAGTGAGGAACTACAGATGGATCTTATTGTAATGCAACCGATGCTTTTATTCAGTTTACATTAAATAGTACAAACAAGATTAAGGCAAGGAAGATCTTGCTCTATTACCTGAACTTCATGCCTGAGTTCTTGGCTGAGCGAGCTGAGCAGTGAAACTCAGAAGCACCAGAGCCTTCTAAAATTCTTTGTAGGTTTCTCTCTGTTATGCCTCCCCCTGTTGGAGATAATCCATCTCTGAGTCACAAATGAGAAGTTAAGCATTCACAAACAAAGTCAATTTTATCTAGATATTAGAGGGAACATCTGCTCTGAATCTGAGATTATTTCTCAAAAACACTTTAGCTTTTAATGTCAACAGATAGTGAACTTGCATCTCTTCAGCAAATAAATCTGCTAGATAGTATTCCTCCTCAAGGACCAATCACTGTTTTTCTTGATGGGATAGATAAAATAGAAAAGTGATACTTAATGCTTGAAATATTCATTACACCATACCTACCAAACATTAGAGAGGGGATAGAAATGAAGTCCAGTAGACTCTTGTCCAAAAACTAATATAGTCTTATCAATATATTTTTGAACTTTACCCTATATCAGCTAATAGCACTCATAACAAACTTACCTGGTACAATAATGATCCTGTCCTTTGCCTATAAAGAAAAAAAAAAGATTAGTAACCTCATTTGTAACAAAAAATATAACTCACATAGAATCCTCAGATATCAGACTGAGAGCTCGATGGCATTTTCTCTATTCTGAATTATCAGGAAAAAAAAGGATAAATTATCAGCAGAATTACAAAATGGGAGAAATGAAAGCTCACCTGTTCTATCAGCCGCTTTATCAAGGGCAGCCCCTCCAGGGCAGAGCTGTCACAACCACTAGTTAGGACCCGTTCAAAACCTATGGATATCAGTGTTTCCATGGCTGTTACAGGATCACAGACCATGTCAAAAGCTGCAGGGGAATTAAAACTCTCCTGGTTAAGACTAATTACAATTGATAAAATATTATCTCAGATAAGTTTCTAATTTCAAATAGTATCAATCTTAGTTCTAGAGTAAGAAATACATAATTAGTAAACAACACTTAACAAATGTATTTGGAAAGAGAAAAAACCTAGAGTAAAATATAATATTTTATAAGATTCAAAAGACAGTGGTGGGCCTGCTCTCATAAATTTTAAATTTTATTACTATGTTAGCTGTTTGTCATGGATAATCAAATGGATAACATTCCTGAGCAGCATGATGTCAATACATGACATTGACATTTAAAAGATACATAACTCTGCTCATAACTGCAAAAATAAATATATAATTAACGTAGAGTTTTGTGGTGATTTTCAATTATTTTGTAGTATGTCTTGTTTTATATATTCAATTATTTAATGAGATAATTAATTTTAAATGTTATGACAAACATAAATTTTCTGGGTTTTTTATTGATATTTTATTTTCCATTTTTATTTTATGGACTCATTTATTTTATTCCTTAAATTTTTTAATGTTCAAAAGAAAAAAAGCTGCATTGGAACAGATCAGTATAAAAAAAATCTACTAATAAGAAAAGTCTAACCATTCAGACAACATAAACCTATTTGTAATAATAAATAAAAAGCAGGATATTAATCATGAATCTGGAGCTCAAAGCAAGACTGAAATCTCTAGGAGAAAGCAGCGACATCTCAGACCACATTCTCACAAATCGCAGCTGGCATGTCACAGTGTCTGGGCCTGCATTTTTCCAATTTTATTTCTAAGCTATAAAACTTACCCCTATGGAAGGTGACTGGCAAAGGGCGAGAAGCCGCTGCAAAGGAAAGACTTCTAATCAGTAACATTCTTATGCTGAGGTGAAAACAAGTTTTTTTCTTACAAAAGACTTTTCATAAAAAGGCATTTTGTATAATAATTCAGCCATGTTACCTTGAGACTATTTCTACAATCTAACCTTGTCTACAAAGACATCTTTTCAAAGCATCTTTTCACATACCTTTTGTATATGAAATCCTTTACAACTATTATACTCATGTACCTACAGAAAAGCAATCTTAGAATCTAAGAAGCATGCGTGAGTGAGAGGGGCAATCTCTAAATTTGATACATAAATAATTCTACTCTTCTCCTTAGACAACATGTCAATAAGTCATTCACAGAATTAAATGAACATTTGTTTTAATGCTTTGAGTAAGTTTGGAACTAAACACCTGGAGGATTGTCTTTTACAGTAGATACACTAATTTTTTTAACACAAAGAAAAGGCTTTTTCTTTGTCTCAGTCCAATTTTGTGATATTCTCCCTAAAAAACTGCTATATTATTTTATATGACATATTTTCATTTCAAATATTTTATTAATTTATCAAAATATAAAATATAAAGTACAAATAAAAATGAACATAAGGGGAAAATAAGGGAGGAAAAGGGGAAGAGAGAAAAGTGTAGGTTAAAAGGGGGAAAGAAAAAGAAAAGCATTTGACTCCTTTTGGTGCAGTAGAAAAAACTCAACTTTTTACTTTT